TAAAGAATCACTTGTTACTAAAATTTTCTTGGTTTTGGCAAAGATATTTTCCAGTTCTAATTGAATAATTTTTTACAAACAACTATATCAGTTTATTAAAAAATACAGTTTCTAAGTTCTTGTAAGTTAGAAGAACAAAAACACAGCAAGGATTTATTATGCAAGCCACCTGTGCCGTTTTTTAAAAATTAACTTTTTTTAAGTGAACAAAGGATGTCGACCTAAAAAAAAATAAGGCAAAATATCTAACTTATTGTTTTATTTGGCAGGACAGAATATTTCGGTTAAAAACATTGATGAAATATACCACAGGATCTTTATTTCTCCGAAGTCATTTATTCCCAAATCTTATTGGATATAACAAAAAACAATATTTTTAGAACTACTGAATTTCATTTTGACAAATACAACCAGGCCCTAGTAAAAAATACACTTTCAAAGTCTATATAATGAAAAAGAACAAAATAAGTTTAATTTTAATATCACATCACAGAAACTTTTCTTCCTTAAAAGTTATTTGTTTTGAAAATATTCGAGGATTTAACAAAAACTATATATGTTTAACAACTATTAAAATTCCTTTTTTGATAAACAAAGGTTTTAGACTCACAGAAAAAATTATTCTTTCAATATTTTTGTCAAGTTGAAGAATAAAACAAGCAAGATTTAATATATCGCAAGATATTTTAATTCTTGGAAGTCTCCGGTTTCCTTTACTTTCTAATGTAAACAAAGGCTTCAACTAACAAACAAACAAGGCAAAACATGCGAGGACAGAAGATTGTGGATTTTAAAAAAATAATAACAATAATTTATTATACCACATGATTTTTCTTTCCCAAAAGTCACTTGTTCCTAAATCATATAAATTTTAACAAAAAATATACAAAATAATATAGTTTTTGATAAAAAAAGAGAAAATTTAGATACAAGTGAATTACATTATTTCTAATGAAAAGGTATATTAAATCATTGTTATTTTTTAATCGCCATTCTTCTGTTTTGCCAAATGAAGGAAAATCTCAAGTATTTCAGCTCTAATAATTAGATGCTGTGTTGTTTTAACAATACGGAAAAGGTGGCGACATGCAGGAGTATAATTAATTAATTTCTGTGATATAATTAATAAGGCTCTCTTTCTCGTCTCTCTAATTTTGCAAGCTCGAAAAGACAAAATGTCGTTTTTTCTGTAATTCTCAAAAATTCTAGTTTTCGTCAAACCCGCGAAGATTTGGAAAGATGTGATTATTAAGGTTTCATTTTTATGTGATTATTAATACCAATCACCATTCCTTTATTTGATTACAATCTGCAATTTCTAATTATAACATGTAATATTTACAAATATTTACATACATGGTAGCATTGAAGGAAAAAATATTCAATATTATTCTCGCATATTTTGCTGCACAACCTTACTCTTCCTCAAAAAAAGAGGTCTCACTCTCTCTCTCTCTCCCTCTCTCTCTCACTCTCTCTCCCCCTCACACACTCTCTCTCATGCTTTCTCTATGTTTACTCTCTCTCTCCCCCTCACACACTCTCTCATGCTTTCTCTATGTTTACTCTCTCTCCCTCGTTCTCTATTTTAACCCTCTCTCTCCCTCGTCTCTTTCTCTCTCTCAAACACTCTCTCTCACACTCACTCTTTCTCTATTTTATTATATCTCTCTCCCTCGTTTTCTATTTTTGCTCTCTCTCCTCACTCTCTCTCTCTCTCTCTCTCTCTCTCTCTCTCTCATTCACTCTCTCTCACACACATGCACGCACGCGCACGCACTCACTCACTCCCATTCTCTATTTTATTATCTCTCTCTCCCTCGTTCTCAATTTTAACCCCTCGTCTTTATCTCTCTCTCAAACACACATCTCTCTCTCACACTCACTCTCTCTCTCTCTCTCTCTCTCTCTCTCCCCCTCACACACTCTCTCTCATGCTTTCTCTATGTTTACTCTCTCTCCCTCCTTCTCTATTTTAACCCTCTCTCTCCCTCGTCTCTTTCTCTCTCTCAAACACTCTCTCTCACACTCACTCTTTCTCTATTTTATTATATCTCTCTCCCTCGTTCTCTATTTTTGCTCTCTCTCCTCACTCTCTCTCTCTCTCTCTCTCTCTCTCTCTCTCTTTTTCTTTCTTTCTCTCTCTCTCTTCCTCTCTTTCTCAAAAAAATAAATAAATGAAGTTAAGGATTGAATGTAATCCACTTATTTTCACCTGCCTTTCATCAAATAGGAGCAAAATGGCATAATAGGTATTTTCACTATAATACATGTCGATTGGACATTTTCGGAATATACAGGAAATTATATAGAATGCATATTTGTTCATAACCACACCCAGATTTATCATGGCTTTATTAGAGAACAAAGCTGTGATCAATGAAAATGTTAAGTAATTATTTAAAAAATGAACCGCTCATATTACTCTCTTTACTCTAAAGTGTCACCTATCATCAAGTAAAATAAAACATATATTTTTTTTCCTATATTGTTATTCTTCTAAACAAAATTAGTTTACTTTATTAAAAAATAGCTCGTATAAGAGGACGACAAAAGGAATCGTTACAAATACCAAAGGACTTTTTTAACATGTTTTCTTCCCTACGCCGTCTCGAATTTCACGAAACTAACAATATGCCAAAAAAATGGGCATTCTGCTTTGGCCTACAGAAAAAACCTACTGTGGCTCAGGATGCCGACTTGGAAAAAATTCTCTCATATTTGAAATCTAAGAATTGGGTGGAAATTTCCCCTTAAAAGTCTAGTTTATTTAATTTTCATGTATTGTACGTTTTTAAAATAAACTGTAAGTATTTTATACGAGTGTCAAGAAAATTTCAATGTAGAGCAAAGATTACAATTTCTGAAAAACTTCTAATTTGAACGTTTTGTTTTAATTCAATTAATTATTCTTTTTATTTAAGGTCTTGGTCAAGATTAAAAAAAGTTAGTGTAACGAGCTGGATTCGGGATTGAGTTTTAAGTTGAATTCTCCAGACCAAAACATCCAGTTTCCCTAGTTATTGATGTATATTTTGATATTCAATAAGTAGATAATTATTCATAACATAAAAATTATTGGTAATGAACAATTTATATTATTTCCAGTTGAACAATTACTAAAGTTGTTAAATAATTCCAAGCTTAAAAAAAAATTGTATTCTACCTGATGTGAATGTAATTTGATAAATGAACAGCAGTATAAAGAAAAAATACTAGCAGAACAGGGATAATAATTTTTGAAAAAGTTCTAATATGAAAGTTAGTAATTCGATTAAATTTTCTTCTTTAAGATCTACTTTAAGCAGTTTTCACTTACTTATTTGATTTTAATAAACCATAAACATTGAGAACTGTTTATTTTATGAGAGCGCCGAGAGAAATTGTCATTAGACAGATTTTACAAATTTTGATCAATTTCGAATTTGAAAATAGAGTTTTCGATCAAATTTTCATCTTGAAAGTTCTGTTTGACTTGTTTCTGATGTATATCTTTGTATTCAATAAATAGAAAATTATTAATAATGTTGTTGTATTTATAACCGCACAAATAATATAAAAATTGTTAGTGAATTATTTAGAAATTTACAGCAGGGCAATGGCAATTTTTAAATAGAAATACAATTTAAACATTCGACGGTATTTTTTTATATATAAAGTGGCATAAGTAGTATTTGTATGTGTTCCAATTCATCAAAGGTTGATTTTTTTTGCCATCATTGTAGGGACACGAATTTTTAAAAACTTTCTATTCAAAAAGTTAAGATTTTAGTCTTTTTTATTTTTTAAATATGACATAAGTATTTTCACGTGTACATAGTCAAATAGGTTTTTTTTTTAATTTATAACAGTGGTTAGAATAAAATTTTTAGAAGAACAGAGATGACCAGTTTTTAAACATTAAAAAATTTGCAAATAGGAATTTTCATCTTGGAAACGTTGGATTACGTTTTAATGTTTATGCATTTAAATAAACAGTAAATAATGTATACTCCTTATTTTACAATAACTTTCTAGAAAAATTCAAAGTAGAACAGGATTGAAAATTTTTTACAAACTTCAAATTTGAAATTTTTGTATTGTTGGAGCAATCACTCTCTATTGATTAGAAATTTCTGTGTATGTACACTTTAAATTTTTTATGTTTATTGTATGTAATAAATATGTAAAGCCTATTAATATTTAAAATTATCCTCCCCAAATATTTTTTGTTGTGGTCATTAAGTAGAAGTAGTATGAATATAAAAATTGTTGTTAGTGAATTATTTAAAAATTTCCAGTAGGGCAATGGCAATTTTTAAATAGAAATACAATTTAAACATTTCAGATTTCGACGAGATCTTTTATATAAAAAATGGCATAAGTAATATTTGTGTGTTCAAATTGATCAAAGTTTGATTTTTTTAAATGCCATCATTGTAGGGACGTGAATTTTTAAAAACTGCCAATTCAAATATTAAAATTTTTGACTTTTTCGAAAGGTGGTTCGAATCCAGCTGCCTTGCGTTAGAAACCGACATATTACTTCTTTTTTTTTCCAAAAACACTGGCACCCCGAGGGCTGACATTACCTTTGCAGTTGCGAACCCTCGTGAAAAAATAAATAAATAAATAAAATAAAATTTCCAGAAGGACAGAGACGACCAGTTTTTAAAAATTTCAAAATTTGAAAATAAGAATTTTTATTTTGAAAGCCCAGTTGGATTATGTTTTATGTTTATGTACCTAAATAAACACTAAATACTGTGTTCTGCAAGGTTGAACGTTATCAATAATTTCAAATTTGAAATTTTTTGCATGAGGGAATCGATAAGAAATTCCTGTATATGTGAATATGTATTTTAAAAATTTTATATTTATTGTATGTAATAAATTTGTAGCCTATTATATTTAGAATTATTCCCCCCAATATTTTTTATTTTATAATTTTGTGGTAATTATTTTGGGTTTAAATTTGATATTTTTTAATATAACTTTTCGATGTTTTCTTAATTACTCACATTGTTTCACTTTTTAAAAAAGCCGCAAAATCCTTTTTTTTCTGTTTTTTAATCTCTATTTTGTTCAGGGGTGAAACTTGTAACGCAACCCCCACGTCGAGGGAGAATGCGCGTGTTTTTCTTCTCTCTCTGATCTCTGCGACGAAGCGAGACTGGGCGAGGCGCGCACTTCGGCACCGTGTTGGCAACTGAGCCGGCGATCCCGAGACTGCGAGGAGGGGCGCGCTCGCCCGACTGGCAGGCCACATCCGCGGTTTTATCGTTCCGAACTGTTTTTGGTTGTGGTCGAAGAAAGAGACGGATGAAAATGGCCCCTCTGTACAGTGGCCAAAAAGAAAACCACCGAGACCGAACGGACCGTAAACCACAAACAGGGGCATTTCTACAAAGTTGGACGCAGAGCTTGTTGAACCGTTTGTATTAATCCACACAAGAACAAATTCAATTAATAATTGGATTCCGTCCATTACCCAATATGCAACACCGTTACTGTAATTTATTGGCTGAGTCCGTTTTTGGAGTTCTGCTCTGTCCGGTTGTTCGGAGAGAGATTTCAACGAAATTTGAGGCGATTAGAATGGAAAGAGAAGAGCAAAAAATACACTGACAGGCAAAAAATTCCACCCAATTGATTTTATTTTCCTCGATAAAAGAAAATTCTGCCCTTAATTTGTCTCATGTTTTTATCAATAAATATTTGTTTACGCTGTTTTCAAATTGAGAATATCAATTAGAGGTAAAAACGCTTAATTCTTAATCCAAAACAAGGAGAAAGGATTTTTCAATGTTTATATGTTTACTTTTTACGAAATTTAAAATGTTGGTTCATTCTCATTTGAATTCTGAATCAATAAACTGTTTATTTTTCATCTTTGTTTTGTTAATTTCACTTTTTAAACTTAAAAATGCCATTTAGTGCTGATGATGTTGTGCGTGATGTGGCACTTATTGATGATGGACGTTCCATCAGGTATGTAGCTATTGCCGACGGAGTTCCCTACGAAATTCTGCGAGACGCCGTTAGACTTTTCCAGAAACTGGGTGTTACCATAGAAGGCCCGGTTCTGGACGCCCTATGGTAACAGAACCACAGGATGACCGTTTTTTTTTTTACTTTGAGAATTTTGCGAAACCGGCACCTTACTGTTGTTCAAGCGATTCATCAGCCCCAGGAAGTCCGTGGTGTACTAATTTCTAAACGCACTGCTCGAAGAAGATTAAATCAGTATGGAGTAATGGCTTTTCGCCTCATAAGAGGACCAGAATTGACCAGAACGGCTCGCATTTGCTCGAAAACATAGTCGTTGGTCTTTGGACGATTAGTCTGCTGTACGTTTTACAGATAAGAGTAGATTTGCTCTACGATCTCCAAATGGGCGGGAAAGAGTGTGGAAAAGGCTAAATGAAAGGTACGAAACCTGTAATTTTTCCCAGAGTCAGCATTTTCGACGTAGCACAGTGATGGTGTGGGCGGAAATTGGAAGGGAGAGTCGCACTAAGTTGGTTGTTGTTCGTGGAGGGTCTTTGACGGCCATTCGCTAAGAGGATGAAATTTTAGAACATCATGCGATGCCTATCCTCGTTGAAATAACAGACAATCCTATTCTAATGCATGATAATGCCCGTCCACATGTCGCTCGCATATTACAAACCTTCAACAGCATAACATCAGGGTCTTAGCCTGGCCAACCCGTTCTCCAGACTTGAACCCTGATAACCACAAAAGACGAATATGAGCACATTCATCACTTGCTGATACACTCCACGATCTAGAAAGGATACTGCGTGAAGAATGGGCTAACCTTCAGCAAAGAGACATTTCCAGACTGGTAGAAAGTATGCCAAGGCGTCTTCGAGATATAATTAAGGCAAGAGAAGGAAGTATGCGAATTTAAATGTTAATTAAAAATCTAACACAAAATTAAGACAAACTTTATCTGTCCGTCTTTTTAATTTAATTTTATTTTTATTTTCCTTAGCAATTTACATTTTTTTTAACTTTTTTAGACAAAGACTCAATTATTAAACGTTAAAAAACCTGAAACTTTGATTAACACATAAAAATATGTACAAATCAAGTATTACAAACGGGTGGAATTTTTTGCCTGTTATTGTATGTTTAGCGGTCATAATTGACAGTATTAATTATTTCAATTAATTATTGTTTTTATCTAATGTCTTGGTTGAGATGAAGAAGTTAGTGTCGCGAGCGGGATTCGAACCCACGACCTTCGGCTTTGAAAAATGGCAAAAAAAGGGAAAATTCGAAAGGTTGTAGGTTGAGATGGAAGTCACGATAGCTCAAGTGGTTAGAGCAGCGGCGAATTCAGCCGAAGGTCGTGGATTCGAATACCGCTCGTGACACTAACTTTTTCATCTCAACCAAGACATTAGATAAAAACAATAATTAACTGAAATAAGTAGGAATATTTCTCTTTTTTCTCACTTTTTCTCCCTCAACGCGTTTCTCGTTAATTGTAAGAGAGGTCATTCGCGACCTAAATTTGCGATATTTTTAAACAAAACTACATTCATTCTCCGCATTTTGCTGAATTTATGGACGCAGTAGTTGGTGTTTTGTAATAGTAACAATTAATAAAATTAATTTTTAAAAAGTTAATTAGCTCTTTTTAGCGTCATGTAAATCCATTTTAGTAATTATACAGGGTGAATTCGGATCAATGTGAAAAAAATGGAGTAGAACCGTCCCGAGCCTGATGACTGTTCAATACGGAGTTATGATTGTTCTTGTGTTTTTCCCCAAACGAAAACGTCTAAACGGTCTCTGTGTGGATGGGGCGAGATGGTACCATTGCGTGGCCATCGAGATTCCCTGATCTCAACCATATAGACTTCTTCGTTTTAGATTTTCTCATATAAGAGGTCTGCAAGGTAAGGTCAACAACGAAGAAGAGTTGAAGAGAAGAGTAATTGTTGCAGCATAAAAGCTTAGGAAGACGTTAAATCTCTCAGTTACTGTGGGATGGGTAGGGAAGGTACTCTACTTTAGGTTTTGGGAATGTGTAGTGTTTAGTGACCGTTAACTAATGATTATTTGGAGATCGTGAGATGCGGTCTGGTGTGACCTAGGTTTAGAAAAACATTTTCTTTGTCATACCAACGTTCCGATCTTTATTGAGATCATCTTCAGGGCTTTGAATCAACAGAAAGGTTTTCTGATTGATAGCCAGTGTAACTTTCTTTTCATTGCGACTGTTTCAGCGATGATCTTCAGAATACTCTTTGATGGTGTTCATGTGTAGTTGAAATCTGTTCATAAAATCCCATGTTGTTCTTCGTTCTTCTCGTGTAGAAATGTTCTGAAGGACATCGCTAGCAATGGAAAGAAACTCTTTTTGTTGAAATAAAGGCAATACAAGGTTCTGAAGATGATCTCAATAATGATCAAAACGTCGGCACGATAAAGAAAATGTTTTTCTAAAACCAACGTCACACCAGACCGCATCTCACGATCTCCAAACAATCGTAACTGTGGGAGTTGTTCGAAAACGAGAAACTTTATGCATCAGGAACAAGAGAAGGCCGTTCCAACAATTTTTTCCTCAATACATTATTTTGTCTAATGTGCATTTTTTTCTAAAATGTGAATAAAAAAGAATGGAACGAAATGTGAACATGATTAACTACTTCCACCCCCTTCCAACAAACTAGACCACTTTTTTTTTTTTTTTTTACTTTTTGAAGGTTGGCTACTCCTTCCACAGAAGTATCAATCATAGTCATACATGCATCATTAGAAAAAGTATTAAATCAAGAAATTTTTGTGTGCTAGGACAGTCTCTAAGATTATTTGTAAAAGAAAGGCAAATTTTTTAATACCTCCGAAAATTCCGGATTTCTGATAAATTTTACATTTCCTCTGTTATAAATGACATTTAAGCGTGTCTCAAAGAAATGAAAATGGTGAAGTCCTACGGGAAAATTATCAATCTTTCCGAAAAAAGAGTCAAAGCTACGAATAAATTAGGTAAAGATTGGGAAAACGCGATTTAACAGCATAAGGTCGGATTTTTTTTTTTTTTTTTCGGAAAAAACAAGAACTATCATGACATCGTATTGAGGTATGATACCCGCTCTAGCGGCATTCCACTCATTTTAGATGAAGATTCTGCCCGAAAAACTTTCACACTGGTCAGAATCCACCTCGAAGAATTGTATTATTTAAACTAATTATGATGTTTAATTTACATGTAATACTGAATGAAAATGAAAACTAAAGAGAACTACATTCTTTTCAAACCTCTTGATGAACTAGTTCTCACCGGTGTATTATAGTACAGAACAAAAGTACATTATCTTTCAATGGATATATTATATTACACACGTACATCTTCACTCTTCTACAAGAAATTACAAGGAAGGGTGCATTTACAGAAAGCTAATGAGTAAAACCGAGATGCCAATGAGACAAATTGATGAGGCCTATGAACAGCAGGCAACGTTACAATATCAATCGTTGAGAATGCCCATCGTATAATATGATTTTAAACTACCTTTGAAACTAGGACTACTCAACAAATCCACTGATGAACTAGGTCTCACCGGTGTACTATAGTACAGAACAAAGGTACAATAGCTCTCAATGGATATATTACATTACACACTTATATCTTCACTCTTCTACAAGAAATTCCTACAAAGAGTGCATTTGCAGAAAGCTAATGAGTAAAACAGAGATGCCAGTGAGACAAATTGAAGAGGCTTCAGGCAGGAAATGTAGTATTGATTGTTGAGAATGTCCATGTATAATATGATTTTTTTTCAAGTAAATCTTCATGCAGTAAGATGTTACTACATTTATAAAATAATAACTTTTTCTTTTACTTACGTAGAATTCCTTGTTCCTATACGGCCCGTAGTTGAGGAGAAGATTGTGCCTCATCCTTATTCCGTGCGACTTCATCGGGCGATCCTGACCATAGTAATAACTGCCGATGTCGCCTGTTCAATAAAACCATTAAATAAAACAATACAAAACTTTAAAAACGTTTTGATATGTTTTATGGTTTGCCAAAGGTATTGGGACGCCATAAATCCCGCCAGAGGATTCAAGTGACTGTAACAAAAGCCAACGAAACTGACCAGTTAATTAAAACATCTAATAATTTATTACTATCTCATCAATAAATAAATGCACAAAAGTTGATCATTTAAAAAAATCAACCCTGGGAAAAGGTTGGAAATTTTTTTCTTTTATAGACGCCACATTACTACATCAAACTGAACTACGGTCAATAAAATGGCGGGTCATGACAACTTTATCAACCCCGGTTAGCAAATATTATAAACACCCCTAAGCAGGGGTAAAATCTCAAATTTATCGGTCCGAACCATCAGTAGTAACTTCAAAATGTGTAAAAAACGACTGTAAATTGGAAAAAATAGAAAGAAACGCATATAACCACACTCAAGTACAAAGATGGATTGGGTGGTAAATCGTCGGTAAATATAAAGGACTTACTGTCGTACAAGTAACAGACTTTCTTCTCTTCATCAGAATTCATTGTTTTCGAATATTTGCGTACTCGCTTTATTAAATAATTACAATTAAAATGTAAGTGCACAGAACGGAGTGACGTCTCGCCGTCTGCGGTGGAGACGAATGGGCGGTAAGCTGGTAAAATAATGCCGAATATATCGATTCAAATATCAATTTATTTAATTATTTTTTATTACCGGAAATTGAATCTTACAAAATTTATAGATTGTTTATTATTATTATTATTTTATTATTTTGACTTGTCGCTTCTGTTTGCCTTTAATATCAGTCATATATCTTTTTTATACACTTGTTAATTATTGACGGGTATTCTTATTTATCAATATATTTCGAGTATAATATTTATTTGTGTGAACAAATTAATCATTCCGAAATTTATTCAATAGTTAAAATTGTCAAAGTTTACAGTTTTTAAAATAGCGGAGGGGGCATGGGCCTGCAGTTAAGCAGTTTCGCCGTCTAACGTCCTCTAATCGATTACAAGTCTATTATCACGAATTATCTAATGACATACACTTTATTATTATCTGTTTAACTCTGAATTATTGTTTAACCATTTTTTATAATAATTTAATATATTTTTATTTAAAAGCCAGGGTTTCATGAAACTGGTTCGATTTTTTTTTTTTTTTGTGCAACATATGCAACAAGTTTGTTTGTGTTTTATTTTGATGTATTCTGGTCTTTCAATTTCTTGATTTTTCAATTGTTAATAGTTTATATTTTCTTCGTTTTGTTTTTAATATTGTAACTATTCGATTTTCCAGTAACAACCAGAATCAAATAAATCGATAGTTAGAATCGATATATTTGGCATTTAGCTTTATTATCGCCCTTTCGTCCCCACCGCAGTCGGCGAGCCGTCAACCCGTTCTGTGCATTGACATTTAAGTTTTAATTATTTAAAAAAGCGAACAAGTGAAAGTTCAAAATTATGAGTTCTGTGGGAAAGAAAAAAGTCTGCTACTACTACGACAGTAAGTCCTTTTTATTTATTGTCGATTAACCACCCGATCCCACTTCCTATCTAAGTGTGTTTATATGCGTTGCTTTTTATTTTTTTTTTCAAATTTACCGACTTTTTTTACACATTTTGAAGTTATTATTTATGATTCGGGTTGTTAAATTTGAGATTTTCCCATTGTTTAAGGGTGTTTATAATATTTTAGAACCGGGGTTGATCAGATTGTCATGACCCGCTGCCGAGTGGCCGTAGTTCAGTTTGATTTAATGAGAGCGTCTCTATACAAGAAAAAACTTGCCAACCTTTTCTCAGGAATGCATTTTTTAAATTAATAACTTTTGTTCATTTATATTTTGATGAAAATGATAATAAATTTCTAGATGTCTTTATTTCCTGGTCAGTTTCGTCGGCTTTACGGTCACTTGTATCCTCCGGCGGGATTTCATGGCGTTCCAATACCCTTGGCAAACCATAAAATATATTTAAACGTCTTTCAAATTTTTTTAATTATTTTATTGTCCAGGCGACATCGGCAATTATTACTATGGCCAGGGTCACCCGATGAAGCCGCACAGAATAAGGATGACGCACAACCTTCTCCTCAACTATGGGCTGTATAGGAAAATGGAAATCTACGTAAGTTAAAGAAAAAGTTATTAATTTATAAATGTAGTAAAGTTTTTTTGTATGAAGGTTTACTTGGAACAAATCATATTATACGATGGGCATTCTCAACGATTGATACTATGACATTTCCTGCTGTTCATAAGCCTCATCAATATGTCTCATTGACATCTCTTTGTACTCATTAGCTTTCTGTAAATGCACTCTTCCTTTGAATTTGTCGTAGAAGAGTTAATATGTAACATTCTGAGTATGTAATATATTACACTATTTGAGAGCTATTGTTTCTCCTGTTCTGTATCTACAGTACACCGGTGAAACCTAGTTCATCGAGATTTGATTAGGAGGCCTTGTTTCAATGGTTGAATTTCTTTTACAGTTTACCACCATTAGTAGGTCTCCTCTCCTTTCTTGCAAAATCTGCATGTACCAATTAAATTATACACACTTCAGTCCTCCTTGTTAAGATTCGCAGTTTTGTTGCTTCCTTTAATGCACTCTATTACTCTTTCTTTCCAAAACTCGTTAGAAGATTCTTGGATTGTTTGTGATCAATTAGTGAATTCCACTGTTTCCTCATTTTCATTTTGTCTAAGATATTCATTGGTAGTGTGAATCCCTATGCCACATTTTTTCCCAGGATTTAATCAAATTTCTTCACCAATATGTTTATAGGTTTCTGCTTGGGTATTTTTTGTACTTTCAGCATAAGTTTGGGATAAGCTATTTATCAACTTAGGGCACCTTGGTGGCTTATGCTAGCATAGTATGTTCAGGTCATATCAGACTTGTTAATTTTTTTGCAGCTTGGTTTGATTTTAGCTCAGCTACTGGCCCTTGTTTATTTTTTTAAGATCCTGTTCTATGCTCTGATACGATTTCAGCGTTGTCTTCAATTCCCATAATTTTTGCTATTTTCACAAAAATTTCCATAACATATTCTTCTTTAATTGAAGGGACATTACTTTTGGTTGCTTTTTGTTCAAGGTATGTATTACAATTTTGAGTTATTCAATTTCCATAGCAAAATGTCATTTTGTTGTTCCAACTCTGTATTTAAATTTTTGATTGTTTTCATTCTTTGAGCAAAATCAACAATTTTCCCTGACATGAAATCTAAGAATTGTTGTACTTAGTTAATTTTTTAAATTTATACATTTTAGACATCAAATTTAATACCCTTATTCATATTAGTATTTTGAGTATCATCTACCTTGCTTTTAAACGGTCTGGTGTTGCTCATTTCAGCGTCTGAATCATCTTCACCAGTATTGTCATCTATATAGGGCTTAATTGAACCTTGAAATTTTAATTGAGAATAACGTTTATACATCCTGTAAACACGTATTACTTCACTCTTATTTTTATAGCCTAAAGCCAGATAGAAATGATAAATGGTGGAGGGTAAGGGGATTTACAATCATATTGTCAGAGGATCATTCAGGAGTTCACTCTTACAATTCATGGCGAGAGGTAGTTGTAAATTCCGTCAACCTGTTGATGAGCTATAAGCTTGAAATCCAGATCGTTTAAAACAAATAACTGTGAGTAGGAACCATCTTTTTGTAAAGATTAAAGCCCAGATTTCGCAAGAATCAGCAACCAATTCAAAAAGCATCAGCTTTGATTCCCAGGAATCAGAGGGCTTCTCTCAAATTCTTAAGAAAGAATATCTCAAAATCTTCCTGAGGTTCTATTTCTGTGTTTTGTTCAGATGCTAGGTTTGATGGCTGTCATTCCGAAGGGCACCTAAATATATAAGATAGGTCTTTTTCTTTAACCCAGATATGTATTTAGTAGTCATAATTGACAATATGAATTATATCATTTAATTGTACTTTTCATCTAAGGTGTTGGTTGAGATGAAAGGGCTAAGGTTTTTTTTTTCCATTCATTATTGTTGATTGGTATGTTTTTAAAATTAATCCATAAATTAAAATAAATTATTTTCAATTAATTAAAGATTAATTAATTGAAAAGAATTTAATATTGATATTATATTATATTTTGGATGAAGGGTATTAAAAATACAAGAAATCCGTGGTTATGTTTTTATTTGTTAGCCATTTCAGCCCACTTAAGCAGGCCAAATGATCTCAACAAATTTGTTGGAAAGATGACTTAATTGGTTAGAAGGAATGTCCATTGGTTTATGAGATGCTAGGCAGGAATTAGTCAATTTGGGCCCCTAAATTTGATCCAATAGTCCAAAAACGTCTAAAAAATAAATTTGATTTTTTAATACCTTCATTCTTTAACTGTAATACATCAAAAAATATATTTTGTAACAGAGGCCACACAAAGCTACGGCTGAGGAGATGACCAAGTTCCACAGCGACGAGTACATCCGGTTCCTCAGGAGCATCCGGCCTGACAACATGGCCGAATATAATAAACAGATGCAGAGGTGTAAGTATTGAATTTAAAAAATCAGTTTAAACTTTAAAAACAAAGAAATAATGTGTAATATTGATGTTTCAAATTTTGCAGTTAATGTCGGTGAGGATTGTCCCGTTTTCGATGGTCTGTACGAGTTCTGCCAGCTTTCTGGCGGCGGGTCCGTAGCAGCAGCAGTTAAACTCAACAAGCAGGCAGCAGACATATGCATCAATTGGGGTGGCGGGTTGCATCATGCCAAAAAATCTGAAGCATCTGGATTCTGCTATGTGAATGACATAGTTTTAGGTATGTCATATTGTTTGTAACATGGAATTTTTTTTTAATATAATGTTTTTAGGAATTCTCGAATTGCTTAAATATCACCAAAGAGTCTTGTATATCGATATCGACGTCCATCATGGTGATGGTGTCGAAGAGGCATTTTACACTACTGACAGAGTGATGACTGTGTCATTTCACAAATATGGTGAATATTTCCCAGGAACAGGAGATCTCAGGGTGAGGTTTTTTTTTTTTTATAAATATTTAATAGTTTGTATTTATGTACATTTCATAATAGGATATTGGAGCTGGAAAGGGGAAATATTATGCAGTTAACATCCCACTGAGGGATGGAATGGATGATGAAAGCTATGAGTCAATTTTTGTACCAATAATAACCAAAGTGATGGAGACATTCCAACCAAGTGCCATAGTCCTGCAGTGCGGGGCAGACTCTCTCACCGGCGACCGCCTTGGCTGTTTCAACCTCACAGTTCGCGGTCACGGGAAGTGCGTCGAATTTGTCAAAAAGTACAATTTACCTTTGCTGATGGTGGGAGGTGGCGGTTACACAATACGCAACGTCTCGCGCTGCTGGACATACGAGACGTCAATTGCCCTCGGCACGGAAATTGCCAACGAACTGCCTTATAATGACTATTTTGAATACTTCGGCCCTGATTTCAAGCTGCACATCTCCCCCTCAAATATGCCCAATCAGAATACGCCAGAATACCTTGAGAAAATCAAGTATGTTTTTTTTCTCTCTTTTTTTAACAATATAGACAAAATGTGCAAACTTTTATATATTATTTTTAACAGGACAAGGCTGTTTGAAAATTTAAGAATGCTTCCGCATGCTCCAGGCATTCAGGTCCAAGGTAAGAAGATTTAAAAACAAAACAAAAACGTACAAAATTTCTCATTTGATTAATTTTACAGCAATTCCCGAAGATGCAGTCAATGACGATTCTGATGATGAGGACGTCAAGATAAACCCAGACGAACGGCTCAACCTGGCCATACAAGACAAGCACATCTCAGGCGACAACGAGTTCTCAGAGTCGGAGGATGAGGGTGAAGGTAACAGAAGAGACAACCGAAGCTACAAACAGAGAAAGCGGCCCAGGATCGAAGGGTCGGACGGCATTGAAATGAAAACTGACAAGAACGACAAGGCCCAAGCCGACGAGCCCAACAGCAAATCAGGCTCCACTGTGTAAAAAGTACAACACTTAAGTTCCACAACCCTCACCTTTATCATTGAAAGTCAGCTGTAAATAATATAAATGTAAAAAGTTTTGTTTATATTTTGTAAATTATAAATAATTTCTTTTAATTGTTTTTATATTTTTTTAATGGCTTTCTTTTTGTGTGTAAAATTAATTGATTTTCAAATCAGCCATGAAAATCTGATTTTTTAAACCAAAAAAATTGACTACTACATAATTTTTTTTTTTTTTCAGTCAACACTGATTATTAGGGATCAATATGATGAAAATACTATTTCATAATGAACTTGTCTATATCAAATCAATTCAATGTTGTCTTTTTATTTTCATATAAAAGTTAAAAATTATACTGGTTGAATGTAAAAAAAATACATTGTATATTGTTAATTATATAATATTTATATATAATTTATAATATACACTTAAAGAGGTTTGTCAAAATGTATAAAACTTTAATCTTTTTTCTAATATTTATATTAATTATTGTTATAATTTTGTTCCATCCCCACCCCATAATTAAATAAATTTTATAATACAATGAAAGATGCTGGACAATTTTGCTGATGAATGATTTGAGTGAATGCGTTATATTATATGCAGCTACACTTTTTAACCAAGAAAAAATAAAACTTTTCCAAATAATTTAAAGAAACAAAATTCAGCAGTTATATATTATTTTGTACATATTAACTCCTTCCTCTCCTGGATTTTATTGAGAAAATGTGTTATATTCGTTTTTAAAAAATTGTTTGTTCTATTTGAGTTGATTATCCAAAAGATTAATTTTCAGTTTATACAAGTGGATTGTCTATGGCAAAATGGGTTTCTGTAACTTAATTATTTGTTGTTTGATGTCGATTTTTAAGTTATTCTCGATGTTTCAGAAGTTGATTTAATCCCTCCAAGTGTGATAATTGTTGAAAAACAAAGACAATTAATTATAATTCAAGAAAAAGGCAAGTTGTTAGGTTTTTTTTACTAAGGACAATTGAAAGTTCAAAGTTAGATGTCGACAAGGTAAGTTTTTTCTTTTTTTTAAACAATGGATACTGGAGTAGTTCCCCGAGCACTGCAGCTGTACAGCTTATAGTATTTTATCCCTGGCTCCGTTTTTGGGAATTTGAGCTCCTGGTGTGCTCCACCCCTTCCATTGATGAGTGCCGAGCCATTTTCATTCAATTGCGGCCAGTGGGACCTTTAGCCGTTAGAAAAAAGTCGAGAGGCGATGGTGGCGATTGAACCCATGACAGCGGGATCTACTAGCCGAGAGTCTGATGCGCCCCCCCCCATGTTATCTTACCTGGCAAAAAGTTGGTGGTCTTGGTCTTTGAGTCGGTGAACACAAGTTAAACCGGCAGTTGGTCCAAGATATTTGTTTTGACATTGTGCCATCTTCAGAGAGGATGGATAGTGCATGGCATCACATCACAACCTGCAAGTGTAGACAGACCGAGTGCTGGTTCATGAACATGCACATTGAAAAGAGGAAAATCAAATCAAATAGCAAAATTATACTTTATTCACAAAATTGGTTTTTCATATACTTCGTATATATTGTTTTAATGTATATTATCGCTAAAAGAAAAAAAAAGTCAAAATCTCTTACCAAATGACAAGTGATAAACTTTGTTAAAAGGGGCTAGAGAGCCTGAGGGTTGAAAACAATCGGTTTTTCTACCGGTGCCATAATAATTATCCAATACTTCATTTACCTTAAGACCGATATTGAAAAAATACAATATTTATTTATTTATTTTTATTGCAAAAGTAATGAAAAAAGATTTATACATTATAGTCATTGATTATGTATTAAATAAAGCCTTTACACTTGTTTACGTAAATAAAGCAATAAATGATGGTACTTATAAAACATAAAAACAGGAAAAAATGTTAACTTTTTTTAATGTACGGTACATTTTACATATCATTATTACATTTCTCCAGGTTTTAAATAGTTTTACTTTTTTAATGATACAATAAAAACTGGTTTAATTTCTTTCCAAAACTTTATACAATTCAGTCTAAATTTGTAGCACTTTGGATAATAAATAAAATTTAACAAATTTTACCCCCTCATCTACGATAACATCATAAAATACAAGGCAATATAATAATTATAATTTTTTGCGATAACAAAATATCTAACTACCGCTGGAAGGGTCATTTATTTATTTTTTTTTTTTTTTAATAGAAAATTTGGTCTGTAAGCTTTAGGAAAAAGGGTTAGTATTTTCTGCTTATTTCAATTTTTTTTTAAACTGTATTGCATAGATATAATTGTTATTATTACATTATCCTACATCACATTACAAATTTTCAATTTCCTTCTTCTTTTTTTTAATAAACTCTTACATACAAATTAATATTTCACTACTCCTTCAAGATCCATATCTTCATAGATTTTTTTGTTTTTTTAAATGATTATCTTAAACAGTTATATATAAACTATAATGTACCACTCGTATGGCATGGTGAATCTTCTCATCAAGTTGGCTTTTTAAAAACGAAACACTCGCTTAAAAAGACCCTTTTTTAAGGAATGTAGTTATCAGCTTTTCAAATCGGCCCTGCAATTATGCTCACCTTTATAGAATAATAATATATAGAACGGGACAGAAAAAACAATCCAGCAAGATACAAAACTGAAAGAAAAAAAAAATATATTAAAAAGGGAAAAATTAATAACGGACAAACTTTAAATTTAATTTAAAAAATATAATCACATGAAATACAATAATGTAGCTTAGATAAAATATGTGTTGATTGAAATGATATAAGCTCAACTTTGTACACGTATTCTTGAGCTTGACTTCCCACTTGTGTGTTTTGGCAGTCCGGGGTTTCAGCCTGCACACGCAATTTTTCTACCTAGACACACTAATTCATTCTTGACCCTTTGGCATACGGTGGTACTCAATACCATTTTTACCTCAATTTTGTTATAATCAGGGTTCAAAACTTTTATCCTCAATCTGCCAATTTGTATCTTTTAGTCTGTTCCCAGCCCCTTCCTCACAAAGCGAACACGTGCCAGCAGTATTCAAATGTTGTATTGACTCTTTTATAAAAATCCGTCGGGTCTTTCATGCTAAAGAAATAGCTTTTATGTGAGTTGAAAGAAGAACGAGATAACTAGGCCAATGGGTGATTACCAAAAGAACCAAAGGCGAGATTTTTTTTCTCTTGAGATCTTTCCTCTTGAAATTATTGATGATATAGTTGTGTACATTAATTCAACGAAAGAAAGCTGTCAACATCAGGAAAAGAGATTTCAAAATTACTACAAGGGCAGAAATATTGGTACTTGTAGGAATTTTATTATGTTTGGGCATGGGTTACCCTTAATCCCTAAATCAATTCACATTCTCACTAACCCTTAAATACATTTTTAATTTTTACAAACCATTCACTCAGGGAGGTGCAGTACTCAATATTCCTCATCACCCTTTATACATACTAGATAACTAACTTAAATGAGGGTTAAAGGCCACCATCAGCCCCATTCATGCAAATAAATACATTCACTTTCACTACACACTAGGGACACAAAACTATCATTACTGTTTCTTCCAAGAAGCGAACAGAGGACCTAGATACTTGCTGTCGTGCTGAAGCACAATTCTCACATCGGGTGGCATTCCTACACGCTCTATATATGGAGCCAAGGAATTGCACCCTTCAATTAGGCCGGGCACATCGAGCAAGCTTTGCGAGACTCATACTGCCCAAAAGTAAGTAACCTTGCATGGCTTAATCAAGTGAGGAAGACCCTTCTAAAAGTACAGGCATCCGAGCGCCACCTATCGAAAGTGCTCTTGATAAGCAAGAACTTCTCTACCAAACCAGCCCACCGATGTCAATTTCTTTTAATGTTTTTATTGCATTTTTGCATCAGGGGGTTAAGTCCGAAAAGTGGGTTCCAGCCTTTCCTTTCCACCTTTTCATTATCCTTTATACCTATGTGTCTGGGTACCCAGACAACAACCTCCATTTTTCCCAGATTCCAGCTTGTGGTATCTCTTCAACAAGAGTTCAATGAGAGGATTCACGGTGGATGGACCACGGTAACCGTGCTGAGGGAGTTAGTGCAGACAAGATAAACAGAGCTTCTTTCTCACTTTCTCCCTTCTTTCACTCGTCCTTGAAGACAATACAGAAATCAGCATATCTCAATCTAAGTTCCAAAAACTAAAGGTACAAATATGGTCAGGTAGATGACTTGACTACCAGCATTAATTTAATAAATAATTAGCTAAATTTTCAACTAATTCCTGCATATTATATAACTTTTAATAACCAATAAAAAATATAGTCATAATTAAATATAAATAATTAATATAATATTTTTTGTTGAGGTCGAACTTACATATATATACTATGATGACCCAAACAGTTCCCGTGGCTGCTATTGAATGTGTAAAATAAACTATTAAAGACGTTAAAAAAAGCAAGACGATCGAGAGCACCAGGAAAACCTTTGCTCGGCTCATCGCGAAACTGGGTCCAACTGAAGATCTGAAGGTGGAAAACAACCAAGGTAAAATACATTAATTAATCAGGTTTTTATTATACTGCGACTGTTCTACTCACACTTTCTGGCAATGCGGGCATCGCGCCAGTGCGTTCTTCAACGTATTGAACAGGAACGTGTCCAAACAGTGGACACACGTGACCTTGCACATGCCTGGTATCGAGGGCACGGGCGGCGTCATCGGGGATTGAGTAAGCTGTACAATGCGTTTACAATTTGCTCTCGGGCATGCGATGCGCTGCGCCGAACTCTTGCATATCAGCAGGCAATTGCAAGGGCATCGGATGTATTTCTTTCCTGCCGGTGGTTTTCTAATCGGCTGCAACAATATTTGTAAAATTAAAAGAATAAATGGGTTTTTGATCGTGAATTACTTACAGTGGCCTCGTTACATCGGTTGCACTTAACCACATGCTGTTCAACCCGTCCTGTCACATCGATTAACATCTGGCATACTCGGCATGTCACCGAAGGGCCTTGGAGGGCCTGATATGGGGGAGGTAGTTCTATTTCATGATCATAATCTAAAATTTAAAAAAAAAAAATCAAATCAGTACAGAAAAACTACGTAATTTGAATTATTAACTATTAAACATTTTAAGGAAAAATATTCCAATTAATGCACACATTACAAAAGAATGTTTTTTGTTAGCTATTCGCCATTCCAAATAAAATAAAAAATTTAACACAAACACAAATTTCCATTTAAATTTTTTTTAACCATCTAACCATATCTCCGTGTGCAAACTTTGTAAATAAGAGTAACAAAAGAATTCGCAGACATCCTTTCCAAAATTAAAATCAGTCATGAAAAGAAAGGGGGGGCACTTTAAAAAAAATCGAATAAAATATTTTATGGTAACAACAAATTTATAAAAACACCATCACACAAATCAATTTGTATGGGAATAGGCTCAGACAAATGCCAATTGTGTAAACAAAAAGTGAGAAAGGTCATTCCATTTCTGTTTGATGGGATTAAAACAGAAAAACAACTATTAACATCTACAAAAAAAAAGAAGTAAAATAAGAAGTTTTTCTAAGAGATATAAAAATTAATTTTAATGGAAATAAAAAATATTAATATAAATATAATAGAAAAAACTATCAATATTTATAAAACGAAAAGCAGAGCTTAATGTTTTATTTATAATATAATTTATAATATAATATAATATAATATAATAATATATAATATAATTATAATATAATATAATTTACTTATAATTTATAAGTAAAATTGAACCAAAATTCAAACCAATCATAATCATGACACATATTTTGTAGAATCACTGAATGGACAACATCCAGTATTTATGCAATTTATATACTCCATTGGACAATTTTTGTAATTTTTTAAAAACTACAACTTTACGCGATGAGCCGCGTGATTTCAATGAAATTTCATTATAAACTAAATGAATAATGTACTTGTGAATAAAGAAATTACATCGAATTAAACTACCTTATCTCGTAAAGGCTCAAAAAGTGAACACTTTCGAAATTTTACAATTGAATTATTAAAAACAGGTCAACCTTCCTGTTTAATGGTGGTGGCTTTTGATAATCTTCAATTATCACCATTTTCAGACGAAGATAATGCATATACAAATAGATAAGTTAGAAATTCTCGATTTATGAAAAACTGAAGAATACAGTGAACTTTTCCGTTAAGTTAAAAAAAAAACTCGTAAAATTTTATTGTTTATTTAGCATTAGCTTAATCCCAAAGGAATCAATGCTGTCTAATAATGAAAGGGTGTTCTGTGCTGTCTAATTAAAATTAAACGACAGTCAATCGATTTAAAAAAATTTATTGACCTTTATAATTTAAATAAGTTATTTCAACTTCATTTTAATGAAATCAAAGAGAAAAGTGAAAAAGATCAAAATAAAAGCTGCCTTGAATTGTGCTTCCAATCATAGACAATCAAATAAAGCTGCATCCACAAATGGCTTTACTCTTTTTTTTTAATGGCTGGAAACAAATTTAATTAACTTTGCCAGGGGAAGATAATTTATTTTTAATTAAATTCATTCACTTATTGTCCTATTTGTTTTTTTTTTCTTTTTTTTTTTATACCAATAATGGAAATACAGTCGGGATGATTAATGTATCTGCATGACTCATCCAAAGCAAATGATAGCGGTTTTATTTCTACTTATAATTTTATATTATATGGAAAAATTGGATTTTATCATTAGGTCAATAGATTGACTCACGGTGTGCTCCTTTCATTCGGACATTTTTCCTCTTATATCTCCCGAGATAGAAAGTATTGCCCGAATCAATATTTTAACAGTTGATATCAGTCAGACGGTCGATCTGAGGAGGAGAGTCAGTTTTATCTTAATGACCAATTTAAAAATTATTTTAAAATTTTCAAGTAAATTATTTTTCTATCTTTCTTACCAATTTACCGAAAAACAGCTTTACTCTCCTCCTTCATTATTATTTTCTCAATAGAGTGTTCGTTATCAATAAATAGACATTTTAATGAAGCACTTCTAATCAGCCATGAAATATTTTTTTCATACCAGTTTAACATAAAATAAAACGTCTTTACTCTTTTGTCCTACTGATTCATCATAGGATGTCTTCAATCTGTCAGCTCTTCCGTTCATAATAATCTTCCCTAAAATCCTTTGAATACCTTTTCCTCGTATTCATTTAAAGGAATTAGCATATCCAATAAGCCATTAAATCGCTTTTACAAGCCAATTGATCTTGAATTATCCAGTTTTTTATTATCTGCCAATAAACAATCCAATCATAAGGCAATCTCCCGCCCTCAAAAAAAATAAAAATTATTTCCTCATACTTGTTACCCATGAAACAACAGAGATCAACCATTTCCAATCAGTCATAAATCATTTTCAAACAAACATGGATATCTTCCATAAAATTATTCTTTTCCCATAGCACTCAATTTCCCATGAATTATCAGTATTTCCAACTTGTACCAGCCAATGAACTCTTAACAAGCCAATCGGCCGAAAACTAGAACAAACAACCAACAACTAGAACAAATTTAATTCTTCTGGTCATAACTTTCTGCCATTAAAATATCAATAAAAAAAAAAAAAATGTAACTTTTTGTCAACCGCTGTAAGTTCCACTCAAGCTGATTTCCCATATTCTTAATGCCATCTTTTACTTATTCAACATAGGGTAGTTTTAACTAAGCCATTAACTTGTCCTTTACAAGCCAATCTGATATAAACTAGCACCAACAAATATTCTCCATCTTGTTCCCAACTGTCATAAAATGTACCAAATAGTCCAGAATTTTCTTCTACACATAAGAAATTTGTTATTGAATCTTTCGTTCTTATGTCATCACGCTTGGTTTATCTTGAATTCAAACACTGATTGTTTCCATCAGCCATGAACTATCATTTACAAGTGAATCTGTCATAAACTGGCACTAAACCACATTGAATTTTTCTCTTTGTACATTTATTCCATTAAAATATCAATTTAAAAAAAAAAAAAAAACCGATTTGTCATATTAATTCACCATAGATCTGCCATAAAGCGTTCCCAACCTCTCAGTTCTGCTTGTACTGATTTGCACCAAAATCGTTTTAAAGCCTTCTCCTCTCATTTATTTGTTGTCTCATTTGTTTGCAATAATCCATAAAATCTGTCTTAAGCAAGTACTAAATCAACTTGAAAAATTTTCTGATCGTAAATTTCTGCCATTGATCTTCCCTTGTCCACTAGTCATAAAATGTTTTAAATAAGCTAAAAGTTTCTTCTGCTCATAATCTTTATTGTTGTTTTTATCTTTCCTCCACCCCACTCAATTTACCCTGAATTAACAAGCTGACTGTTGATCTGCCATGAACTCGGCTCTTATAAGCCAATCTGCGATAAAGTTGGTGACAACCAAACATCTTTGAATTATTTTATTTGTAACTTTCTCCCGTTTCATTGCTCATACTGATATTTGTCAAAAAAATAGAAGTTTTTTTATAATTTCCTAATTGGCCCTACGTTACTGTGGTACTGTTAACTTGCTGTTAAACTGTATCCAATAATTTATCATTTAATCCTTTTACTAATTTGTTAGTAGTTATTCTTCTTATGTTGATTTGCCTTCAAATCTTTTTAATGCCTTCTCTTCTCGTTTATTTACCATAAGAATGTTTCCAATCAGCATAAGGTATCATTTACAGGCCAATCTGCCATAAGCTGGTCCCAAAACAAGATTGAATTTTTCTGCTCAATACTTTCTGCCATTGAATTCATTGTCCCCTTGTCATAAAATGTTGTAAATAAGCCAAAAATTTTGTCAGCTCATGATAACCTTCCATAAAATCTATTGTTCTTTTCCCCTCACACTCAATTTACCACAAATTAGCTTGTTTACTACTTCTAATCAATCGTGAACTCGTCCTTTAAAAGCAAATCTGCCATAAACTGGCACCAAACATCCTTGAATTCTATCCTTTTAAAAATTTAGTTCCTACTTTTTTTTAAGGATTGAACACCGCACTCACTCCACCATTTATCATTTTTATCCTTGAATTCTTCCAATCTAAACTTTCTACCATTAAAATACCAAAAACAAAACATTTTGCCATCATGAGTTCGGTGCCCGTACTGTGCTCATAACTGTACTCCTAAAAACTCCTTGTCTATTGTCTCTTATTTATTTAACAAAAATCAGCCGATTGACCATTTTCAAAACCAATCTGCCATTCCAAAATCCATCATGTCATAAAATCCAAAGTCTGTTTCCAACCGGCCATGAACTCTTTACCAATCAACTTTGATTTCTTCTAGCTACCTGTAGCTTCTATAAAAATATCTGTTTTTTTAAACAGCCATAAAATTCAATGAACTTTTTACAAAAGTTCATTAAAAATCAAGAGGGTGTTTGTTTAGTAATTCAATTTCTTGATGAATCATTCTATACGGAAAAAAAAGAGGATGATGCTTTGTTTCAGCTGTATTTTACCCTGTTGATTTGTACTGAATATTTTTAATATATCATTTAATGAGCTGAATATATACATAATATAATTAATTTTTATATGTTTAGCGGTCATAATTGACCATATTAATTATTTCAATTAATTATTCTTTTTATCTAAGGTCTTGGATGAAAAAGAATAATTAGTTGATATGAAATGTTGTTTTTCTTTTTTTTATCATTATGTCAGAAACCATCATAGCCATCCCATTTATTTTAATTCTCTACAGAATTTGGAGATGGTTTCTACTTCAATCTGAGTGTATTTCCTTACATTGCAAGAGCCTGTTGGCACTCTCCAAAGCCGCATTTTCCACTTAAATTTGTAAGAGAGTTGCGAGTTTTTGTCGTTGTTGTGGGGCAACAACAAAGATGCACTAATCTTTTTAGACCAATAAGAGTTTTAATTTGTCTTCTTTTTCGGTGTTTCTGGCCAGCATACTAAAGGTCAATATATGATGTCTGACTTGGTGCATAATCAATACACCATCCTCGAATTTATTCCCCAGTACTATAATAAAATAAATATTTTAACAATAGAATAAGATAGAATAGCTTTTACTGTATTCACAAATCACAAAATAAACAATTATAAATATAAATATCAATTTATTACTTTATGCTTTTTACAACCTCCTTGAAGTCATCCTTGTGGTATATAGGATTTACTATTAATAACGTTTTATAAATGTTATGAATTCATTAATCGGTAACGATTTTATCTTATTGGAGAACACACTGTAGTCCTAATTGCATTGTGATCTAGGTTATTTGTTGCTTTTACATTGAACAGAAAGGGATTACTAACTAAATTATTATAATTTCTAGTATTTATCTTGGTTATTTCAAAGCGAGTCTCAATAATATGCCTTAATATGCTTTAGATTGGAATAAATGTACATGGTCATCACTTTCAGCTCCTTGTCTAGTGGTTTGCTATGATTCTTCGGGTTTTTTTAATAAAGATTATTCTTAAGCATTAATAACTTTTCATTTTTAAACAAAGGTGGTATTTAAACAAAAAACCCTTTAAGGTTTATGCTTAACACTAAAATGTATTGTATTTCTAGGCCTAAATACCAGGTAACAAAAACAAAGAAGGAAAAAACGTCATTTGGTTTTTTATTTGCTATTGTTTTAAAGCCATGGTTCATTTTCATCCCCTCATCGCAGAACTTGTTGAACTTATTGTTTCATCACTGTGCAAATTTTTCAAGCCGCCTCGTCCGTTCTAGTACTGCATAATATAATTTCAATTAATTATTTTTGTTTATTTAAGGTCTTGGTCAACATGAACAAGTTAGTGTCACAAGAGGGATTCGACCCCACGACCGACGGCTCTGCTCTAACGACTTGAGCTATCATGACTTCAATCCACTCGGACCCCAACTCCAAAAAGGGATTACTAAATTATTATCATTTCTAATTTTTACCTTGGCTGTTTCAAAGGGAGTCTCAATAATATCCACTTTAGATTGGAGTAACTGTACAGAGTAGGTATGTCAACACTCATCTTTTTGGCTAGTGGTTTGATATTATCCTTCAGTTTTTTTTTTTGTTTTTTTTCTTAAAGATTATTCTTAATACTTTAATAACTTTTTATTTTGAAACAATTGTGATTGTTACAAAAAATACTTTAATGTTTTCACGTCACACTAAAATATATTGTATTACTATACCTAAATACCAGGTAACAAAAAAAAAGGAAAAAAGTCATCTTGTTTTTCATTTGCTATTGGTTTAATACCATGATTCATTTTCAATCCCCTGAATCAGGGGAACCTCCATTTAAACTTTTTGAACCAATTTTGGGCAGTGCGCTAACTTATTGTTTCATCACCGTGCAAATTGTCCGAGCCGCCTCTTCCGGCTAATAATTTCAATCAATTATTCTTTTTATCTAAGGCCTTGTCACTAACTCCTCAAACTACAACCTTTTGTATTTTTCCTATTTTTGTCGTTTTTCAAAGGTGTCCAAGTGGATCGAAGTCATGATGGCTCAAGCAGTCAGAGAAGCGGAGTATTGAGCCGAAGGTCGTGGGTTCGAATCCCTCTTGTGACACTAACTTGTTCATTTCAACTAAGACGTTAGATAAAAAGAATAATTAATTGAAATAATTAATATTGTCAATTATGCTAAACATATATTTTTAAAAAAAGGTTTTTTTTATAGAACGCTTCGAGGACAATCACTATGAGTCATTACAAACGATACTGGGTTTTTCTCATTTTCTAATCTGCCCTAAGGAAAAAGATCGTGTAAAGTTTTTTGTTGCTAGGACGAAAAACGGCAAAATTTGCCGCTTTACACGATCCCCGGCCTCGGCGCAATTGGCCGCCTATCAATTGAGGAGATAACTGTTTTAGTTATCCTTCCTGTTTTAGGAAGTCATTTGTAAATATTTTATCGTTTTAAAAATTTAAAAGTATTTTGTTTTATGGGCGTTTTTAAAAATAGATGGTTGTTTAGATTTTTTTTATAGTTGAGAATTGAAAGATGGAAGTGGTTTTATGTAATCACTAGATCGATTTTTTTTTTTTTTTTTTTTTTTTTTTTTTTACTTTTGTGTTTTATGATTGAAAAGTTAGGTTTGAGAGATTTTTTAAAAGTAAATAACTCACCCCAAGTTTCTTCCGTTGTTGTGGCCTCGTATCCATAATTGGCGTTTGGTGCGTTATTGTCCAAAAGTGGTTTCGTCTCGCCAATGTCACCCATTGTGGTCGGATCGCATCTGACAGCGGTCTAAGACTGACGGTCGGTCGTCGTCCCTTTTTCCCTTTCACCCCGGGTTCACTGGAAGGGGGGGCCTTTGTACCCTTAGCCTCCTGGACTTCTGGATTTACTCGGCTGACGATTTTTATTTTTTTCCACTCGGCGTTCAACAATGACCGACGCCCCTGGGGAACACGGCAACTCTAGACTGTAGAGCAGACGGCCTTCTTCGCGACGATTTTCGAGATAATGAACCCTCATGTCGATTCACGACAGACGGATGAGAAAACACTCGAAAAAAATTCTTCCATCCTTTTCCACCTATTTTGAATAATTTGAACTGTTTAGAATATGTAAAAAATTAGAAAAATATAATGCCTTAAAAAACAGCTGTCTTTATTGATAAACATTCGATCTAGGGAGAGCGATCCCCTTAAACCCTACAACATGCCTCCCTTTAAAAACCAAAAAAAAAATTAAACAACATTAACCATATCAAATTACTTTTAATTTTATTTATTTTTTTAAAATCGAGAGTTCAAAGGAGATTGGCAGATTTTTTGAAACATTTATCCAAGATAAGAAAGATTTTTTAAATTAGAAATGTGTGTTTCTTAGTGACCTGTTGTTTCGAATTTGTTGAATTTGAGGAGCGGTTAAATGTGGTTGTTTAGAAAAACACCTTTTTCATTTTTTTGCTACGTTTCGACCTTTATTCTGGTCATCTTCAGGGTGAAAGTATGGTGCTATTCTTGTGGTGTCATATAGGTTTTGTGTCACATCATTTTCAGAAAAAACCAATATGACACCACAAGAATAGCACTACACTTTATGCCCTGAAGATGACCCGAATAAAAGTCGAAACGTCGACAAAAAAATTAAAAATGTGTTTTTCTTAACTACCTCATTCTTGGCCGCTCTTGATAACTTCAACAAATTGTTTTTTGATTGTTTTATACCAGTTTATGGCAGATCCACTTTTGAAAGAGATTTAATGGCTTATCCCGGCCAATTACTAATTTTTGTTTAATGAATATGAGATTCAAGTGTTTTCCAGGCATACGGCTAGGAGCCCAGTACGATCGGAACTCATGACAGATTGTCGAAACGGTTGATTCGCCTATTTTTGGTATTTCAATAAAATAATAAAATAAATACAATAAGTAAAAAAATTATTAAAAGAACAAATCGAGTTTGTTTTGGGGGCAAGATTATGACAGGATAATATTATAAAGGAGAATCCATGGCTTATTGGAAAACAATTCCATGTAAATAATTATCAGAAGATAACCAAGGGATCACAGTAATTGTTCAAAGGAATTATTTCAAAAGGAAAGAAAGGAAGATTAAAAGCTATTTATTTATATTATTATTAAAAGCCTATTTGATTTTAACTTTTAGAAAAGGTTTGAAAGGAGTTGAAAGTTTTATTATCTTATTACACAATACATCTAAGAATATGAACTGATATGATTTTGAATTGTTGAAATATTTATACAAACGATTTTATTTTGTTAAAAAGATTGTTGATGTTATGTTTATTATTGTTTTTATAATATTTTATTATAAATTAAAGTATTGACTTAATTTTATTCTTTGATTTTTGAATTTTGCCGCCAAATGTTTTAAATGGTGGTTTTCTGTGTTAATGGATAGCTTTTGTAAGTATTTCTCGGCTAGTCTATTGGGTGTTTACTTTTGTTGGTTTTGTTTATATTAAACCATGTTTGTTCATGCCAATTGATCGTATTTTTCAATCTTCAGTGAAAAAGATTGGTCAGGAATGAACTAAATAAAAAACAAAAACAAACTAAAACGGAACATTAGGTATAAGTGTTTAATATATAAGTGATATTCCGTTGTTTTTTGGGGTTTTATTTTCTATTGTAACACAAAGGATGACGACTCTGGAGGATAAGATTTTAGGTGAGAAGAAGCACTATTATTGCAGTAGTAGTGAGAGTGGTGATGAATCGGATGATGGAAGTGATAACGAAGTTGAAGCGAGAAGTGTCGAAGTGCCTTCGTTGCCGGAGGTCAACAAGTGGGACGGTGTGTCGAGCAACACAGGTCCGAAAGGTGTCATCAGGGACTGGCAGAGGTTCAAACAGCTCGAGACGGAAAAAAGACAGGAAGACGAATTGGAAAGGTTGAATTTGGCGAAAACACTTTGCCTCGACGGCGACAAGAGAGACGAAGACATGGACCTCGCCGATGACCAATTCATGGTCGAGTTCCGCAAGAAGAGAATGACTGAGATTGCAGAGGTGATCAACAGGCGCGAGCCAAATTTCGGCGTCGTTACGACTCTTGCAAACGGAAGTGAGTTCTTAGATGCCATCGATAACGAGGACAAGTCCGTTACAATAGTCGTACACTTATATGAGGAGAACGTTCCGACATGCAAGATTATGAATCGCTGTCTCGACTCCTTGGCGCATCAATATACCAAAGTCAAGTTTTGCAAGATGGTCGGATCAACTGCTGGAATCAGTCACAGGTACAATATTTAAAAAAAATTTGAACTGGCACTGAGTCTCGTTAAGCTTTCATCTTCATTCCTTTACAAGACCCAGTATTGGTTCATGTGTTTACTGATTCGTACTCAATAAATATATGTAAAATTCTCTTTGAAGATTTCAGATTGACGGTGTACCGGCACTCCTGGCTTACAAGGAAGGACAGATCATTGGCAACTTCGTACGCGTAGTCGATGAACTCGGTGATGAGTTTTACGATGGTGATGTTGAGAATTTTCTCATTGAACATGGCATCCTATTAGATCGGTATAACAAAAACAAAAAAAAAAAAAAAAAAAAATTTACCTTTTTTTTTTTTACAGGCATTGTGTACCGAACTACATACAAAACAACCAGGACGCAGACGAAGACAGCGACTGGAGCCTTGAATAGATTTATAAGATTATTTCATGGAACAATATGGGTATGATGCACGATGATTTAAAAAAAAAATAAAAAAAAAAAAAAAAATTGTGGTATTTACAAGAAAAATTCCCTCCCCGCTGTACAGCGGTCGACAGGATAGAATATTCCCCAATTGTTTACTTTTTTTTTAATCCCAGGGTTTTAAAAAAATATTATTAACCAATATTCAATTGATCAATATTAATTTTTTTTAAATTGATTTTATATGTATACAGCGCCAGATGCTGTTAAGATCTCATATTGATTGTTTTTTTAATTATCATGAATTATTTTAGTAATAGACATAATAGTACTTATTTGGACTTTTTTCTTAAAAAAAAAAAAAATCAAGAGGACCAAACAATTTATTATAAATTATTATTAGTAATTAGTTTTTCTATTTCTTCTAATTTTTTTTATTTTACTTTTACGCACTATTGTTATAGCATGAATTTTGAACAACAAAAGAAAACCTGTTAACACTGTATTAATTTAAAAAAAAATCTTTAAAACATAAAAGAAAAACCAAGTTTTTAAGAATATTATGCTTAACCCAGTCCTGACCGATTATCCAACTCTCCAAATGTTAAAAAAAAAAAGGCAGGTTTTAATACAAAAAATAAATAAATCAAAATTATATCTTTGTTTTTAAAAATAAATCTTAACAAACAAAAATTTACAAAATACAATCAGTTGATTTGATTTCATATTAAAAAAAAAATCTAGTTTGGAACCGAATCGGCTATGTCTGGTCTGATTTGAGGCCAGCGCACATTGTCTCCAAAACTTCCTCGTTGTTCCTCTCGAGGCCCAGGAAATTGATGTAGTTGTTGAACCGGTTCGACCTTTTCGTCTGGGACGACAGCCTGCGCTTCTCCGATCTCGCTATCGCCCTCAGAGCTGACATGTAGTCTGTGCATATCGCGCCTTTCGAAAGCTGCGAAGCCGGCGTTAAAAGGTTGTCCGACGCCGTGTTCATCACCTCAACTACTGTGGTTCTGAAAACGAAAAGAAGAAAAACAATGGAGTAATTATTAATCATTTTTCTTAATTTGTATTTTTGAAAATGGTTTTCCCATTTATATCTAAACAAATTGGCAGATCGCAAAATTGACTTAGCATCCAAAGAAAGTTACCTACGTACCCAATACATCTATCCTATTAACTCTTTTAATTGATCAAAATATTAATTTTTTTTGCAACTTGCAAGTGATCAATATTTTGTTTTATTTTAAACCTACCATCAATCAATTATCTAGTTAAATATGAACCCTACTGCCAACCCATTTACTTATTTTACATCAAACGAGCTACCAGCTTAGCAACTGACCACACTTTCTAATCAGTCAGCCAACAAACCAAAATTCCCAACAATATTAATCTACCTTCCAATACCATACCTAAGCAATCTACTAACTTAGTACTTGATCAATTTTTCTTAGTATTAAGTACTAACCAACCTACTACAATCAAACCAATTTAGTAACAATAACCAATATAGTTTACCTAACAACCTACTAACAAATGAATGAAATAACCTGGACAAAATAAGTCAATTTAGTTACCTACCTTAAACTGCCAAACTTAATAATTAAGTAAATGCTTTTACCAGCTTATTAACCAACAAATTTATCAATTGACCAAACAAACTTGTCAATATTGTTACCCAAAAGCAAAAAAGCATTTCAATTTACCAATTGACCAAACTGTCCAGCGAATACAATTGCATAGAAAATTTCCACTTTAATAATTTACTAAACTATCCAGCAGATATAGTTACATTAAAGTTTAACAATTGACCAAAATAACAAGTAAATATAGTTCCATAAAAATTTTCAATTTAGTAATTGACCAAACTATCCAGCAAATATAGGCCACAAAAACATTCCACTTTATTAATTGACCAAACTATCCTGCGAATAAAACCCATAAAAACATTCCAATTTAGTAATTAACCAAACTATCCAGCAAATATAGGTGCATAAAAAGTTTCCAATTTAGTAATTGACCAAACTATCCAGCAAATATAGTTTTTCTCCCTCCTACTTTTCCCTTTCTCTTTTTTTACCTAACACCTTATTCACTATGAATTTACACACATATTAATATAAATGAATCTAGTAAATAGTTGAAGTTTCAATTTTTCTTAAGTAAATAGTCTCCACTCACCTCGTGCTCTTGTACGGATCATCAGCACCAGCTATGCTATGCATCATGTCCAAAGTATAATTTGCAATTTCTTCTGATAGAATATTTTTAGATTCTCCGTCGTGGATCAACGAAGTTGAATTTTTAAGTTCTCTATAAGAGAACGACGGAATTAACATATCTCCAGCCTAAAAAACAGATTAGATATTTTCTAGTATGGATTCTTATAAATGAAGGAAAAATATAGTTAAAAATAGTTCACCTCCTCTAAAACAGGCTGAGAGAGACAATCGCTTTTACACAGAATATTCACTAGCCTCTTTGTTTCTTGTATTAAATTTTTACATGTTATATTGCACTTCCCGATTACATTCCATGTGTTGTTTAATTTAATTTTATCACTGTAGTCTACCTGTAGAAGTATTAAAGTTGATTAAGAAATTATAATAAATAGTTGTAGTTGTTTTACCTTGGGCGAATCAGCGGAAAACTGGATTTGCAACAAGCACTGCCTGATGTCAGGATTGTTGTTCGTTAGTTTCGCCACGTCATCCTGTTCCAGACTGACACCTTCAGCTATGCTGACGGTCTTGAGCCACGCGGCAAGAACCTCGCCCTTGATAAAGTTGAATTTCAACATCATCCCGACGTGCGGTTTGAGCTTGGCAAGATGCTTTGAGTCGTACTCATTCGTTATAAAAATCACAGGCCTTTTTGAACTGATGGCCAGGCTGATGACTGTCGTAAGGTAGCCATCGTCGGTATTGTTAAAAATGAGATCAGCCTAAAATTTACATAAAAAGTCAAATTAAAGTTTAAACAAGAAAAAAAATTAAAAAATGCTTAGGCTTACATCTTCTATTAAAATTAAAGACCTTTTCTTTTCAGTGCTGATTTTTTTCTTTTTAACAGGAGCTGGAAAGTAGAAATTGTAAAGGTAATAAATTATTTTTTTACAAATAAAAAAAATCTAACGTACCAAAAGTAATGACGTTCGCATTGTGTGACTGCAAGGCCTCTGAGAAATCTTTGAATATTTTTTTGCCATTCCTGTTACAGGACGCGTTCAATTCTAGTACCTACGAGTGTGGAAAAAAATATTTAAATTTTCTTCTAAAACAATATAATTATATTAAAAATGTAATAATAATCACCTCGTATCCAATTTCTTTGGCCAATACATAAACCGCCGTTGTTTTGCCAGTGCCACACGGGCCGGATATGATCGCTATGTTTTTAATACTATTTGGTTTATTGTCGTCGTCTGATAAAAATTCATCACCACTGTCGACACTTTCCTTTTCTAAGAATAATTAATATTTTACAAAAAAAATTGATTAATTGTTTTTAATTTGTTACCTTTGGATTTTCCAATTTCTTTGAAAGACTGCAACCAAGATTTGAGTCTCTCGACATTCTTTTTATTTCCTAAGACTAGATCTGATCTCTCGAGCTTGTACTTCTCGGTCCACATCTCACCTTCGGCATTTTTCTTCTGCCGGCTCAGCTCACGATACCAAGTCGTGATCGGGAGGTTTTTGTGTTCTTTTTTCAGCGCTTTTAAAGCTTTTTTCTGAACGATGCTCTTCACCTGGGGCTCATCCCAGGACCAGTGGCTGCGATCAGTGATTCGGCTCCATACCGGAATTTCGATTTTGGTCTTGACCCTATTAACAAAATCCAACTTCACCGTCCTCAGACTCCACATGATGTTCATCATGTCTTTTTGCGTCACATGAGATATTTTAGGAAAAGGAGTCGGATGCCCTTGTATCACTTCCCTGATAAAAACAATTACAAAATAATTAACATAAAATTTATGTGTGGTGATTGGTGACAGTTAATCGATAATTATTCAGAAATCGTGAGAGCGGTCTGGTATGATGTAGATTTCAGAAAAACATTTTCTTTATCGTGCCAATGTTTCGATCTTTATTGAGATCATCTTCAGGGCCTGGGATTTAAAAACATTGTTTACATTTAACAAATACATTTAGGATGTGGAAAAGTGTATTTATACAATGCAAAATATATTTTTTATATTCAATTAAAGTATTTCTACACAGAAGACAAACACTTTGAGTAGAAATACTTTGATTGAATATAAAAAATATATTTTGCATTGTATAAATACACTTTTCCACATCCTAAATGTATTTGTTAAATGTAAACAATGTTTGTATATCCCCGGCCCTGAAGTTGATCTCAATAAAGATCGAAAATTGGCACGATAAAGAAAATGTTTTTCTGAAACCTACATCACACCAGATTGCATCTCACGATTTCAGAATAATAAAAATTTATTCTAAATTCTTGGTCAATTATGAAAAATTTACTTAGGTTTTAGTCTTGTGGCGACGGTACTGTGTAGAAATTCTCTGATTGCAGACTTTCTTTCTGTATTCATCTCGGACAATTCTTTCAATGGCTGGGACCTGTTTCTTTTGAAGAAAGACTGGAGTGTTCCGTCTGACTTTATTTTCATTTTCTTCCCTGATTTTGAAAACAAAAAAAAAAGTCAAAACACAATTAAAAAAAAAAAAAATAATAAACACAGAATGTAATTTCGTTTTACCATTATTCAGTGGTTGTGTTTCACTGACGATTATGACATCATCTGAAACAGTATATAAAGCAAAATTAACTTTTGTTCCAGGGACAAGAATCGGAAGAATTTAGAATAAAACCCAGGCTTAACTTACAATTTGCAACATAAAAAATGTAATCTCGTAGGTGCTCAAGAAAAGAATACCTAAGGTATTTGTATTTTTCAGTTAATAAGGAGCGAATTTTATGACCTGAGCTAAATTAACTGATGTTTCAAGAAAATCAATTTTTTATGGTATTTAACCATTATTAATCGCTATTCAATTCCATACAAAAGACCAAAACAGTGAAGATATATCAAGAACGATCAGAAATGACTAAACTATAAATAATATTGTTTTGTTTGGAATAAATAAATTGAATAAATATACCCTTGTTTTCAGCCACTTCTGTAGAATATATTATCTCGATATCTGCAAACAAAAGGAACAATATAATAAAAATCAACCATTGAAATCTTAATAAATAAATTACCATCGATGGCTTCTTTGATTTGAGGAAGACGCGATGAAAGAATCATCGCGTCTTCTTCAGAAGAGATGACATCGTATTCCGGTTTTCCAGGCTGTTTCCTTAGACGGAGCTTTGTCTTCATGACCGACTTGCCTGCGTTGTCAGGAGGCGGGTGGTGCACCATCGCTTTGACGATGACCTTATTAGACTTGGGCTCCATCGGAGGGATTTTGTCGACCTTGTTGAAGTAGCTTAGCAAAGTCTTGTTCGGACTTTGCGGCTCCTCTTCTGTCAAGCTGTTCTCCTTGCTCGAGTCAGAGTTGCGCTGCTTCAGTGACACTTTGGGAGTTAATTCTTTTTTTCTTTTCACCTTGGCCACCTCTGCCTCGACGGGATCTTCTTCACTGCATTCCGTATTACCGCGTTTTCTCTTTTTCTTCCTCTTCTTCTTCGCAGGATCGGCGTTTCTCTTCGTCGACTCCTCTTCTATACTTTCACCTTTGTCCTCTGAACACTTGGGCGAAGAAAAATAATGTTTTAGGTCCTTCATTGATATGAACAAACTTTTAAAAATGTCAAATTGTTACTGGAAATAAATTAAAAAGAACGATAAATTGTTTAAAATCTTTAAAACTAGAAAACACTTGGATGTAAACAATCAACATGAAATAGGTCCGCCTTTTCCCGGGCATTAGGATAAACTGTGAACGTAACACGGAACCTTCTCCCTCCTTTCTACTTATAATCGATTTAATCAAACAAAGTTTTAAAAAAATATAAATAAAATGTTTAATTTAAAAAAAATTAATTAAAAAATACATATCGAAATTTGAAAAAATACATATTTAGTTTTTGTAATTAATTTTTAGGCGGAATTTAACTTGTAAGGAGGTTTCACAAAGGTTATCTTATCTTTTAAGTCGCTCAAACTTGAAAGTGTATTTTAATTTAATTACTTACTATTCATTTTATGAATAAATAATTATTTATGGTAAGGAAATTAAATAATAAATTTGATAAAATTTTATTGTTTCTCACAAAGACTTTTTGTCTTTTAACTGGTTAAAACATCAAAATGTTTTAGCCTGTTAAAACTTGACAGTTGAGTATAATTTTTATTATATAACTGATTTTCTTACAAAAAAAATTTGTATTTGTAGTTTAAATAGCTTCCAAGTGGTTTTTTAATATAATTTTTTTGGTTGTGTCAGGAATTTACACCCATTAGCATTTTATTTTATTTTTTTAAATAAAAATTTAAATTTTTCATTGTATAGTTTATTTTGAAAGATATATGACCAATTTGCATCGACAACCTGCCTAATATATTACTTTATTAAAAAATTTATAAGGGGGTGTTGCTGGCTGAATGGTTTAGGTGTTGACACGGCACTCATCAGTGTAAGGTCCTGGGTTCAAATCCTGACATACTTACAAAACTGGACATCAAAAATGCAAAAACACTGACACCCAGAGGGTTTATATAACCTTGCAATTTAATTATACTTTTAGAAGTTTTGGTTGAAATAAAAAAGCCACCTCAATATGCCACTGCTCTAACCACTTGAGATATCGTGTCTTTGATCCACTCGAGCATTAACTCCTCATTAACCTTTCTAATTTTCCCTCTTTCTGCCATATTTTCATAAACATATAAGGATTATATACATATTTTATTAATTTATTTGAAAAAAAAAACCCACATGGAAAAGTTTCTTTTAAACCACAAATAAGAGTTAATGTATTTGCTTCTAGTATTTATTAACTACTATTTGGAATTATTTTAATCAGATCAAATTCGTTTTCATTTAAAAATGATTAAAAAAAAGTGTTACTGACACAAAAAACAATGATTATGTACCTGATGAAGGACGTGAGACATCCGAAACGTTGTCAATAAATGTTTTGAACGAAGCTTTGGGACTTTTGTTCTGGGGCCGCTCACCTCAACATAAGTTTACAATTACCAATTGATTATCCAACGGCCGACTAAAACAAGGACATGTATTCTGTTCAGATTTCGGACCTAGTATTGAAAATTTCATAAATGCAAAAGAATAAGAAGAACTTTTTTGCACTGTATATTAATTTTTAATCAGTTAACACATGAAAGTTAATGTTCAGCCCATTTAAACATGAGTTGTTTTTTTTTAACTCATTTACTTTTCGTCTTTCTGTTTAATTACTATTTGAAATTAGGTCATTCAAAATTACTGACTATTTGATTAATAACTAATTATTTTAGGGCATTGATGCCACAACAATTTAAGCGTTGACACAGTGCTCATCATGATGAGGTAAAATTCCTGGGTTCAAATCCAGCGACACTACATTTCAACCCGACATACTTAGAAATAGGTTTTTTTTTTTTCTTTCAAAAAACCGATACCCCGAGAGCTCATATAACATCGTAGATGAAATACACTCATAAAAATATATTTATAATAAGGAAAATAAATAATGAATCTGAGTAACTTTTTTGAAACCTGAAAACATTTGCAACTAAAGGCTATATTGATATTCAACCTTTGATGATAATTGTTCCACCAAAAAAATACAACGAACCTCAAAAAAATAATAAATAATTATTAATTACTAAAGCAAACAATATGTAATTCTGATTAAAATAATTTCAAAGAGTGGTTAATTCAGAGTATACCTTTGATATTTATTATTTAACCAGTCCAAACATTTTTTAACATAAACAGTTTAATTATAAAAATATTTTATTCATACTAAACTTGTATTAATTTTGAATTATCAATATTTCGCCAATTGTTGATTGCTCCTGGGCACTTTCTGTTCAAGTTAAAATAAATAAATTATTGACATTTCAACAGAAAATAGCATAAACAAAAGTTAACTTTTTATTCAACTGATATTTTATTTGGGTACAATGGAAAAAAACCTGCTAGAAGGTTTCTAATGGTTTACAAAATGTTGAAATTAATATTTTAAGCAATAAATTTATTGGGTGTTTTTGTTCTTGTTTGTAAGTCAGTCAGGTAGAACTATATAAAAAATACAAAAACTTTAGAAAATTCTTAAATATTTATTTCATAATTGGACTTAGCATTTTGACAAGTTGACACACTTTTTAAACTACTTTTAAACTTTTCGTCTTAATTCTCAATATAATATTTTTACTTTGTTTTATACAATTTGGAAAGACTTGATGTAAAATATAACAAATTTCTACGAGGTCGAGTTCAAAATGAAGGAATAAACATGAACAGTATATCGATTCCAAATAATTTCACGAATCATTCAATCCCTTGGATTTTTCTAAGAGGGAAAAAATTAAAACCTTACAATAAAAAATAAAAAATCTTTTTAAAGCAAATAAAACTATATTTGATGTGAGTTGATCTTTACAAATTCATTGATCATTCAGTTCGAGGTCTTCAAGCTCCTCTTCGAGTTCCCCTAGATCATCATCTAAGAATAGGTTCTCATTAATGGCGACAGCGCCGTTATCTCCTTCAGCAGCTGAAATAGAATTTAATTTAAAAAAAATTAAATTAATTTTAATTTAAAAAAAATTACCTGAATCGGCAGGAACGGTTTTTAACAGGTTTTCTATGTGATGGGAAAGTCTGTCATCAGGAGCTTGCGTGATTCCATTAACATCAACATCAACAATATCAAGACCCAATTTATCTAATTCCAATTCTTTATACTGAAATTCGGGAAATATATTAATGAAGTAGCTAATTTAAAGACTTTAAAAAAAAATATAAATTACTTGTTGATCATCTGCCTCTTCTTCTTCATTTATCTGATATGAGTTGAAAGCCTCGTCGCCCTCTTCCATCTGGTCTCCGGTCGCCAGTTCAGGATTAAAAGAGAACATTTCACGGCCGGAGAGCCCGCTCGACTTGCCGGCCTTATAGTCTAGCTTCTTCTTGTCTTCGTCACGCTGCGCCTTGTCTTTCTTCTCTTTCACCTTCCTCTTTTTCCAGGCTAAGAAGGATTCTAAGGTGATTTTTGTAAACTGTTTCGAAGCCAGCGAGGCCCGTTCGCGTTCGATGAGGTCTTCGAGAGAGATTTCATCTTTCTTGTCATCTTTTTTCTTATTCTGGGAAAGAAGAACGAAGTTCAACAAATCAATATTTCAACTTTTTTTTGTTTGTTTATAGATTGTCCGAAGATGATTATTTACCTTCTTGAGGACATATCCGGGTGGGAGCGCATGACGATATATGCAGTTTTCACCATTAGGACAATTCCAAAACCAACCGTAATTATTATGCTCTACAGCATCTAAGAAATATTTACAAACCTGAAAAAAAATTGTATTTTTAGTTTTTAAGTAAAGACATCTTAGATTATGGTTTTTGGCTTTTAACTAGTTAAAACATAAATGCTTTAAATTTTTAAACCATTATTTTATTAATCAAACTTCAGTTTTTATGATTTGACCCTTACCAATCATCGCTGGGTCTGTCTGTCATGTTAGTCAGCTCATAAAAAGTACAAACATTTTGCCATTTCTATTAGCAAAATAACTACAATAGTGATAGGACACACTGAAAATGGTTAAATGAGCCAGACAGACCAACCCAGCGAGGTTAGGCAAACCAACAACAATATGAATCAAATCCCAAGTTCACCACACTGCTGACCACAGAAAGAAATAACACTCTCATAATTGAGTTTTTAATTACAAATTATCTGTCTGTATTACCTTTTAACCTATTAAAAACACGAAAGTTTACTTTTTAACAGGATAAACCGAGAAAGTTAATTTTTTCTTTTAAAGTTGATTTATTTAAAAACGGAAATTTTAACTACTAAATTATCTTATTTAAATATGTTATTTTTTAAAATACAATATGGATATTAATTAATTATAATGTTTTTTAATGAGGGTATTTCAACCCACGAGGTTACACAAACCCTCAGGGTGCTGGTGTTTTTGAAAAAAAGCTCATTTGTACATTGGGTTCGAATGCAGGGCCACTGAATTGGAATCCAGGATCTTTATATTACAGTGATAAGTGCCTTGACATCACCTAAACCGTTGCAGCCACCGACACCCCTAATTTTAAATTTAATACAATATAAAATGCTGGCGACAGGTGTAAATTCCTAAAACGTTAAAAATGTAAATATGTAATGTATTTACTTTTTTATTTAAAAAAACAAAAAAAAACACGGAAATGTTTTTAACACAAAAAAAGTTAATGTTTTAACCGGTTAAAAAACATTAACTTATAATTTGGTCCGTTTTAAAGAATTATAGGTAAATAAAACACAGATAAAATCTCGCGGTTGTGTTCACAATTGTATTTTGTAAATCTTTACATAGCCAATCTCTTCTTTGTTGGCTTTTCTGCAACACTTCTTTCTAACATTCCAGTGGTTTGATTTTTTTTAAGTAGTACCATTTGTGAGTTTTTAATTTCTTTGAGTGATACTTTATGGAACATGTTGAAAATAAATAAAAATAAATATAATATATAAATAAATAAAATAAATAAACAAAGATTCCTGGCCATGCAAAAGTTCAAAGTATTCAGTACTCGAGCTGTAAATCCAAAATTGTGATTGTTTCTGCAAAAAAATACAGTAGCCCCTTAAAATTTGTGGATATTTGGTACCAGAAAAATTCGAAATAAACGTAATACAAGACATAACAGTGTTTGAACATGTTAATTGTTTGTATTTTTTGATGTGCAAGGACATAAATAACCATTAATTGTTCACAGTTTTGCTGAATAATTAATTTCTTTAAGAATTTAATAAGGATAATCATAAGGATTTGAAATGGCCTCAACATCTCTTTTAAACTTAAAACTTCAATTTAAAGACGGGTCGAAATCCATTGCTTAAGTTTGTCCCTCAAGTTTAAAATTTCCCCGTGCTGTTTTGAAGAAAAGCTTAGGCCTGCATAAAAATTTTTTACAAAATGTAACGTCCAAAATTATTATTTATTCTTTCACCAATGGTCAGGACAGTTTTTTTTCCTGTTTTGGAAGAGGAGGCATTTTGCGACACAGCTTCAACAAACAGAAGAAAGATGGAACAGTATGTTGAAAGAAGGCAAAAGTTTTCTGAGAATCAATTTCAGCCGACAATCCATTTTATAAAGAATTATTTTCTGTATGAAAATAAAACTGTTTAAGCAACTGTTTTTTTTCGTTCGGACTTCTGCAAATGTCAAAACTTTCCTAATTTTTTCATACATGAATAGTGAATATCACAAATGTCAAAACTGCCAGTGTTAAGGGATTACGGTACTGTAATTTTTGAACCGATTTACTAACAACATATGGATGGCTAACAATAGCGAACATACATACGAACTGAAAAAAAAAACCTTAACACAACAAATTCTTCTATAAATGTCAAAGGGCACGGATCTGTAGTAGCAATAGGTTTGACTAGAAAACACAGTTCTAGAAAAAAGCTTTTTGGGATATGATAAAAAGCTATAAGCTTAACAAAAAGCTCTAGATAAAGAGATTGCACATTAGACCAATATTAGTTAAAACTAAACTTACGATATCTGTAGTTGGCCTGTTCTTCTCATCGAGTTGTTTGTTATCGAGCAACTCCTTGACCTTGTCCTCGGGCGAATCGTTGTCCCTCATATCGACGTATATGCTCCTCTTTTCCGATTTCCTCTCGACAGTGAGGTCGTGCGAGAATTTGCATTTCGCGCCTTTCGTGCACTGTCCTTCCTTGAAGAAAGCACATAGTATCGACTTCGGATCCGCACCTGAACGTAAGATAATTATAAAATTGACTATAAAATTTGAGGATTAAAAAAACAACCTTTTTCGACTTTTTGGACTGGTTTGAACAAGAGGTTCAGGTCCTTTTGGTCCTTGGATTTCCCGTCCTTCTTGTCGTCCTGTTGCTTCCTAGGAGGGACGCCTCCGCTTTTCACCTGCTTCTCGACTTGCTGAATGAACTTTTGTTGCTTTGCGCCTTTTTTGTTCTTAAGGCCGAAAGTTTTGTCCTTCAACGAAATTTAAATCTGTGAGTCGTCCCTGGGTTGTCTCCAATGGGCTTTCTTACCTCAATAACTTTCTCCTTCTTCTTCTGGTCGGCTTTCTTGCTCGGCGCCTGGGACTTCGACTTCGGTGGCATTTTTATTTTACGTTTTCTTTCTTCTTATTGACGGCGGAGTCAATTCGATTCCATTTCACGTGAGGCTAAACATGGATTTTACACGATTTTGTATTTTTGCCCTGTGTAACCACAATTTCTTCTCCTGCTCTTCTTGACCTTAATGAGGTTAACTTAAACGTGGTTAGCACAGTCCTAAGCGCCAAAAAAAGAAAACCGCCTCCTTACATTTTTTTAAAAATTCAAGAACGGAATATGAGAACATTTTGGAAAAAAAATTGATCAATTGGTAAAAATTAAGAATTTTAAGCCATTGCTCAAACTTTTGAAAATAAACACTGACGTCATCAAAGGGGAACTGACTCCTTAGTTCATTGCCATGTTTAATGATGGTCAATAGTCTTTTATTTAATCATTTGAACCAAGTAGATTGATCTTGATAGAATTGCAAAAACTTAATACAAAAAGATTTTCTAATTTCAATTACTTTCAAAACAAAAGTCATTTTATTCCAAAAATAAAAATTTCGTGTTTCACAGCAGAGGTCATTTGCTCAAAATTTACAAAACGAACGGAATGACGTCATTAAAGGGAAACTGACTCCTTCGTTCATTGTCATATTTAATGATGGTCAATATTTATTTAATCATTGGAGTCAGTTAGAATGATTAATCTCGATAGAATTGCAAAAACTTAATATAAAAAGATTTTTCTAATTTCAATTTACTTTCAAAACAATGTCATTTTACTCCAAAAATAAAATTTCGTATTTCAAAGCAGAGGTCATTTGCTCAAAATTTACAAAACGAACAGAATGACGTCATTAAAGGGGAACTGTTTCCATTGTTCATTATCATATTTAACGATGGTCAGTAGTCAATTATTTAATCATTTGAACCAGTTAGATTGATTAATCTTGATAGAATTGCAAAAACTTAATTCAAAAAGATTTTTCTAATTTTAATTACTTTCAAAACAAAGTCATTTTATTCCAAAAATAAAATTTCGTGTTTCAAAGCGGAGGTCATTTGCTCAAAATTTACAAAACGAAAGAAAGACGTCATCAAAGGGGAGCTGACTTTAATTAATTGTCATAGTAGTAAAAGATAATTATTTAATTAGTAAGATGCAGAGAAAGGTTGCTCGATGTGTCCCACATAATAGAGGCGTGTCATGCCTTTGCGCCATACAGAGAGCGTGTAGGCATGCCGCCGGAATTAAGAAAGGTTCTCGAGCACTGCAGCGAGTTTCAGGGTCCCCTGTTCCGCTTTTTAGGGGAAATTGTTTTTTTTTAATTGTATATAGTATGTCTTATGTGTTGTGTGTCTATATGTTTTGTCTGTGTGCATGTATTTATTAGCGTGAATGGCGAGGGGTGAGGGTGAAATATAACATCATCATCGCCACTCGAACGTTGAGAGCGTATGAGTGTGTGTTAGGGGTCGATGGCGGAATATTTATAAAAGTACTCCATCGACCCCAATCTAGATTAGTGTAAGTATAGGTCGGTGGAGGAATATCAAGTACTCCACCGACCAAACGGAATGAGTGTATTGTATGAATGTATTTATTTGAATGAATGTAGTGTTTGAAAGTGTAAATAGAATAATATTGACTTAGTTTGGGGCTGAAATGACCTAGATGTCGGAAGCCCAGTAAAAAAAAAAAAAAGATAATTAATTAATTTATATGGGGCACTCTCAATACGACACGCAAGAATGGCACACTTACGCAGAAAACAAACACTTTGAGCCCTGAAGATGATCTCAATAATGATCGAAACGTTGGCACAATAAAGAAAATATTTTTCTGAAACCTATCACACCAGACCGCATCTCACGATTTCTGAATAATTATAATTTATTAACTTTGTAAAGATAATTTGACAGGAAGAAAAATAGGAAATTTATTAGGAAGAGGAATATTACTAATTAAAGAAAAGATACGTACAATAATATTACAAGTAGGAAAAGTTTATATAGTGGAATTGTATTTACAAATAGTTTTTTAAAAATGAAATGTAATTTAGCCAAAAGTAAAAAGTTAGATTGATTTCTTGATAGAATGGCACAAACTTAATACAAAAAGATTTTTCTAATTTCAATTACTTTCAAAACAAAGTCATTTTATTCCAAAAATAAAAAAATCGTGTTTAAAAGCAGAGGTCATTTGCTCAAAATTTACAAAACGAATAGAAAGACGTCATCAAAGGGGAGCTGACTTTAATTAATTGTCATAGTAGTAAAAGATAATTTATTAACTTTGTAAAGATAATTTTATAGGAAGAAAAATAGGAAATTTATTAAGAAAAGGAACATTACTAATTAAAAGAAAGATATGTACAATAATATTACAATTTAGGCAATTGTAATCTAAGTTCGAATCCCGCTCGTGACACTGACTTTTTTATCTCAACTAAAAACCTTAATTAATTGAAAAATTATTATGACTGTTCTATAGTATACTACAATTGTCTGGTTCAACAATGACTATCAAATAATATCTACAGGCATTTCATTAAAATATATCCTTACAACACAAACACCAGAATATTGGCAAATACTTTAATGTTTCGCAATTCAATTTGATATTTCAAATAATTTCTAATTACTTTTGTTTAAATAAATCAGTGTTACGATGTTTTCACAAGGGGTTTTCCTCATTTCTCCAGGCAAATTATTTTAATTGATTAATCAGTTAATCCTTTTAAAGGAGATGTTGACAGACGCCGATCCCGAAATCGACCCCCCCCCCCGTGTTTTTCGACTTTGAACACGCCTGTGTTTTAGAGAGAGGTGGAGTTGTGAATATGCAAAAGAAAACGGGATGAATATGCAGATTTACAAATGGGGTGGTTCGGATTTAAATATGAAATTAATTCCGGCTGGCGGGCGTTTAAAAATATTTTTAAAAAAAAGGAAGAACCCGGAAGCGTTTATGAGATCGACGTGGATGTGCTGGCTTGGTTGATGTGGTCATTTCAAAGCCGGATTAGTTCGAACGGATTTGAATCATATTTACGAACCGGCTGGACAATTTATCTTCTCGTTCCTTGTTATCCTACTAAATTTTTAATTCTACGATAAATACCGGCGATTTACACCAGAATTAGCCAAACGCATTTAAATCTAAAATAAATATTTTTCCCGTTTAAAATATTCAACAATTTTGGCCTTGATCTACAAAATCTGAAATTGTTTTATACTTGGACATTGCCGTTATTTTATTAAACAATTCCATTACTTCGATATTTTATTTTATCGCGATGAAAGCATTTCTGGCTAATTACAAAACCCATTTTCACCTAACGCTGTTTCGGCCTACACTGTAACAATGGAAATTCTTGCAGATTCTCAAGTTTAGTATTTGTTTGCCTACATTTTTCAAAAAAGTATCACAGAAATGATGAATGATGGAGTGAGTGCAGGGTTCAATCCTTTTTTTAAAAAAGATAGTTCCTACTCACAGTAAGTTGTTTTCCAACCATCCGGATTTCGAGCTCTTACCTCATCATCAGATTGAAGGATTGCTACAACCACGTCTCTCGACATGAATTACGAAAGATACTTTTCTCGAGAGACGTGGTTGTAAAAAACCCTTCAACCTGAGCTAAGAGCTCGAAATCCTGATCGTTGAAAAACAACTTACTGTGAGTAGGAACTATCTTTTTTTTAAAAGGATTAAAAAGTAACACTTCGAAAATGCTGTTAGTGGGAACAATACATTATCATATTGCCTATTATGTATTAAACAAATAAGGTTAATAAACAAATAATAGAGTACAATGCGGGTTCTTCAAATTCCCCAATTTAGTTCTTTTTTATTTGACAAATTTTAATAAGTATATCAATTTTGAAAATTTTGTCAGTAGTAAAAATATATATTCTTTATTTATCAATATTTTAGTACGATAAAGTTTATTTGTGTATAGCGGGTAAGGAAGAAAACAGGGTATTAAACATATTTCACTTGTATCAACCGTGGTGCCTTTTGAAAAACTCTTCCACCTTAAAAATAATTCCTGCACCCCGCCCCACGACCAACGGGTTTTATGAAACCTGCACATATGAAATATTTTGGTCTATTGTATTTTTTAATGCATTTATTTTTATCTACAACTGTACATCTATTATATAAAACCAGCAGATTGGATTTCAATTTTTGTTTGTGCCATTATGGGCGTTCTAGAGACCCATTGGCAGCCGCTTTGGATTAATAAAATGATATAAATCCGTTAAGAGGTCTCTTATCAATATTCTTTTCAGACGTTTATGTGGTAATTGCGGGAAATGGAGTAATCGTATTTGTGTGTTAGTGTGATTTTGTCATTTACTATGAAAACGTCTATAATATTTTTTGATAGATTATAAAACTCTTGGCATTTAAAGATCTCTGATAAGCGTGTTATCGTTTTAGTAAAAAGGGGCAGAAACAATTAGTCTGAAAATTTTGGATTGAAAAGTTTGTAATCTTTGAATATTGGAATATTTGGCCGATCCATAAAGCTGGCAACCGTTCATACAAATACATTTGAGTAGCTATGTGTATGTCGAAAGTTTGGATTTTAATTGTAATTTTGATTGCCGGTTGAGTAGGTAATAAAGCGTTTTAAATCGTTTGTTGAGTATCTGTTTTTTTTAATCGTGTATGTTGATTTCAAGTTACTCTTCTATCAAACATAAGTTCTAAATAGTAACTTAGTCGGATTGAGGAACAAGTTCGTTGTATAAATGCTAGAAGTCTCACGACGGAGTGTAAAGGTGATATGTCGTGACTTTACGAGGTTAAACTTTATTTTCCAAAGATTGTTCCATTTTTCAATTGCCGATATGTAGTTTTGTAACATAAGTGAAGCTTGTGTAGAAGAGGGATGATTTGTTAATATGGCGGTGCCATCTCGTATGTGGCGGTAAGTGCATTCTCATTTGTGGCCCTGTTAGAAGTAAAAATTGTGTAAAACAATTGAGGGCATTGACCCTTGTGGCACTACCCACAGGGACACCTTCCTTGTGGGCCCAGTCTAGCCTGACCATCAATCCTGGTGCCTGGGGGTAACCAATGATGGAGGCAAATTTCCCCTTTTACCTTCCTATATCCTTCCTTTTCTAATTTTCTTTTCTCTTCCTTACCCCCTCTGCTTTGGCAGAGGCTTCCTGGGTTAATGAACCTCACCCCTCAGGCAACGGGTAGGGCTTCATATGATCTCCCGGGTGGGTGATCAGTCCCATCATAAATATAATACTAAACCGCGGGAGTAGAGTATCCAAGTGGCTCTAATAATTAAGGTTGGACTCTTGGTGGTCATGGTTTGGTAAACAAACTGTACCTTAGCTGGAGGGTACCGGCCAACCGGAGCCGCAGTTTTGAAATACTTTTGAAAATATTATATACACCATTAATATACTGTAGTTCAATTCAATAAATTTGTACTGACAGGTATTTCCCCGATGATCGCTATCTTTGCCTTGGCCTCGTTCTTGGATAATTGGCTCTCATCCCCTTGGTACAGCCCGTCGTGAGTGTCGAAAGGGTAAAATAGCGTGAGTAAACCTCCCAGTTGAAATTGCTGTTCGTCAAATCTGGGCTTTATGTGAGCCAACCCGGTCGGATAGTGCTGTCTCTTCCAAAAATGTGCAGCCTCCTCCTGCCGGGACAGAAATGTGCGATGATATGAAAGATTTCTACAGGTCATACTCAAGTTCTTCACTTATGATCAAATCGATATCGACATTTGCATGGATATAGTCACCATCTGTTGAACGTCGCACGGTCCCTTTAATCAAGCAGTGTTCCTTGGTTCATTGGAAGATAGCCTTGGGCTCCAGGTTTTTGCTGAGCCCTGGTTTGTTGATGTTTGTCCGAATCCATGAGATATCCTCACATCGGCGAAAACCCCACTTTCGGAGACAGGCCTTACCCATGTCTAAACCTTCTGATGAACCACGCCAAAGAAAAACGAATGCCCTAGATACTGCTATTTCTCCTACATCCAATTCCATAACCTGTTCCCAGCTCCAGAGTTTTGTATTTGTGACTCCCATCGTCCTCTGGTGTCCAAAGGAGGTTCTACGAGTATCACGTCAAATTTCACATTCAAGTATTTCATGCTAAACGTTTCAAGGTCGCATTTTAAAAACATTGGCGGCGTTGCAGTTTGAGCGATCTCATCCTTGAATTTTATTAATTCCCTCAACTTGGGATATTCCTGGAACCTATCGGCGAGACCGACATCCCTGATGAAGTTTTGAGTGCGTTGCCCGGTGTCGACGAAGTGTTGGAAGTAGTCATTATGAGGGTTTGAGATTGTGTTCCTTTGAGAAAGGTTGAAGAGTCTTTGTAAACAACACCATCGCACTCTTCTTCCTTCTCCTTAGCCTGGTCAATTGGCGTAGGCGCTGCTTTGACTTTCTTCTTTGGCGGTTCTTCCACAGACGTACCAAGAGCCAGCCTTAACTGGGCAGCGTTTGAAACCCCGAAGGTCTGGGCGAGGAGCAGCTTCGTTGCGACCGCTCTTTCAGCTCCTTGAGCGTGCTGCTCATTTTGTCGGGCGGCTGTCGCGTCGACGTCGGTTGGACGGGTTGGAAAACTTCTGAACTTAGCATTGCACTAGCTCGCTAGCCAAGGGATGTGACAAGTCCATGCATGTAAAATCTTCCTGGTGATCTCTTTGAGAGCACTGGGCGTCTGAGAAGTCCCCTTGGGGGTAAGTCCAGACGCTTAAGATCCTCATGGGTCTCAACACCCATGAGTAAAGATGGGAACATCTCATCCTTATGGTACACCTGCAAGCATAACTTTTGTCTCAGAAGTCTCCGTACCCTGGTTTACTGCGAAAAATCTCTCCTTAAGGTATGACTATGTAATCAGATAATAGGACTGGGGTAAAAATAATTTTAATTTGTGTAATAATCCCTCATGCTATACTTTGTCGAAGGACTGATACATCTAGAAATAGTCCAGTCGCGTACAGTTTCTTCTCGAGATATAAAGTAATGAAATCTGTAATTCTGTGAAGTTGATGGGTACTGGAATTGTTCCAAGCCAAATTGATGTTCTGGTAAGATGTTGTTTGAAGTTGTTAAGTGGTAAGTTGTTGCTGATGTTGAAAGTTCATTGCTTTGTAGAGAAACCAGCAATGTTTTAAAAAATTGAATGTTTTTTTTTTTAATTGAATTTTATAAACAAAAAATGAAGGCATATACAGGATATACGTTTTAACAATTATCCTGGCTGTTCCTTCTCCGCTCTGTCCCTTCTCTGGGCACCTGGAAGCCTTTCCTTTTGGCCTCACCGTCCCAGGCCCCTTCGGATTTCACGCCGTCGGCCCTTTTTCCTAGGCGACAAAACCAGCCTGTTTTGTCGAGTCGTATGGAGGTCAGATTTGGTGCAATAGTGTGGAGAGGTAGGTGGTGCGTGGGAGGGCGCTAGATCGATCCGGCTCCCTTCCACCTATCAGTCCGCTCTCGGCCGCCCCCCGACCAACAACACTCCGTTTTTCGTCAAAATAAATATATACATATAAACATATATACAGACTATATACATACTATAACCGCGTCTTCCATAACTAGGCTCCGTATTATGAACGTACATCTTCCATTATTCAGCACGAAGATACATAGGTGAGTGAGGTTCTCATCAATTTAAATTTTTTCACCAAATGAAAAACCATACACAAATAAAATATTCCTTTAAGAAAAAAAAGCAACTAAAGTAAAAACAGCATTTTATTTCCTTTTCCCCTGGGATGTACGATGTCACCCGTTGTCTGTTTTGCATAATGCCAGATGACGATTGATCCGATGATTCAATTCGGCATCAGTCACGGTTTTTTGAAGACTTCCCTTTCACCCTTCACCTCCTGCACATTTCAATACCGTGATAGAACAGTAACAACTGTATAAATAAATCAAAAAGGTTCAATACTAATTTTTTTTTAAACCGGGGCGTTTGTATTTTTTAAAATAGTTTCAAGATGTTCAAAATATCTTAAAAATTATCTGGCAATCGTGATTTAACAATAAATAATATTCTTTTAGTAAACATAAGCCATTAAAAAATAAAATAATCAATATTTATTTACAAAGTTCAATTAATAAACAATATGTCTTTTCAGTTTTTTCGAGATTATACTATTTACTTTCTAGATTCCTATATTATTGTTCACCCAATAAAAATAAAATCATTGTTTTATTTTTATTACGAATGTTAAAAAAACTATATTCTTTTAATTATTTAAACTATTTAAAAAATACACTAAGCAGTTTATGCAAATTTTATTTAGGATTTCCCCCAGTAAAATCTACGATTTTAAATTTTCTAAAAAAGTGGCCAAATAATCGTTCAACCTTTGCATAAATTAATAAACAATGTTGATGTATATTTTTTAATAAATGTTAAAGCCCGGGGGAAAAATATTCACCGTCGCCCAGACCGAACGGCGCAGGGTGCTACAGTTCCGCAAGACCTAGGAGATTTGCTGGTTTAGCCTAACTAAAAGTTTTTTGGGGGTGTCGATCTCGTGACCTTTTTTTCCAACTGTCCGAACGTTTTGGTCAGACTTCTGGCATCAAGCGCGTATAGACTTATGATGCCATGCTTTATCATAAGCAATGATTCAGAGCCTAAAAAAGAAGGATAATATGGGATCATCTACACATATCTTAAATTATTCAATGTTTGATAACAACTGGTAAGTGCTTCCCAAGGATTGTTATCCTGGTCTTCTCCAAACTTTTTTACCTCTGGAGGCTTAAGGGTTCTCTCGTTACATCTGCGAATAGAAGCTTTTTCTATTCCTCTATAGTTACATTACTTAGTACAAGGCCTTTCACGTACCTTTTTTAACTACGGTTTGACTCTTTGAGTCTTTTATTAACAGTTCTGAGATAGTTATCCTCAAAATAAACAACAATAATGAAAACAGTTTTACTGCCCTTCTGGATGGCTTGAATAACTAAACGGTACTCTATGTGGCTCAGATCTCAGCTATGAACTTAAACGACTCATTATGACACGAACATAATTAACAAAGACAATATAGAAATTTTTTTATCCGGGGTTGACAAAAAGTAAAAACTAGCTGAAAGCAACATTGAAATGAACCAGGAATTAGGAAGCTTCGTTTGTTGTTAAACAGTGATCTATAATGAGGTAAATAATCCCCGAGGTAACAGAAAATATTACTATAAATTTATTAAAACGTTGGTTAAGGTCAAGTACTATCAGATTTGTAGGGGTTACGATAGATAAATAGATTTGGGAGAATTCAGAGATCCCACTATGCTCTTACATTATTTTTCTGCAAGTATTTTTTTAAATTTAACTAAACAATGATGCAGTTTTTATTATTTCAAATATTGACATGTCCAATGTTGTTTATTATTGGATGAGAAACATAAAATTGGTATACAGTGCAACGTGAATTGGCAAATAGAGTTGGGAGAGAAAGAGAGAAGGAGAAAGAAAAAAGAAAGAGAGAGAGAGAGAGGACAAAAGAGGGTGGGAGAGAGAGAGAGAGGACAAAAGAGGGTGGGAGAGAGAGAGAGAGGACAAAAGAGGGTGGGAGAGAGAGAGAGAGGACAAAAGAGGGTGGGAGATGGATGGAAAAAAGAAGAGAGTGAAGGAGAGGGAAAACGAGAGAGAGGTAGTGAGGCGCGAGAGGAAGAGAGAGTGAGAGTGAGAGAGAAAGAAAGAAAGAGTGAATGAGGGCGATAGAGGGAGAAAGAAAGAAGGAAAGAAAGATTGATTGATTGATTTCCGTTTTATTTACACATCATTCAAAATTTGGTCTCAAGGACCACTCTTACATCTAATGTGAAATTCGATGGTAGATTTCAACGACTACTCTACTTAATCCTAACAAAACTATTTCTTTTTCATACATCATTAATAAATAAAAAACCATATATATAAAATTAACTTGACAAAAAACAAATAAAAATAAAAAAGTTAATTTCTCCTTACTTAGAGAATTATTTACAAAAAAATTTTACAAGTGTAATTGAGCAAGACCAGATATCAAACATTTCTAACAAAAAAACACTATATGAGGTATCATTTTACAAGTAAACATTTATTTACATAAAGAACAAATTTTTTAGATAATTAAAGTAAGATATTTTTAAACTTAAACTATATATGTTTAAATTCATATGAAGAGACGTTTTGTATTTTTAATTTTTATTTACTGTATTTAGTGTACAACTTTTAAACTTATAATCTGTCGTTTTTTTCAGAGAGAGAGAGAGAGAGAGAGAGAGAGAGAGAGAGAGAGAATGAGCGAGAGGAAGGGAGAGGGAGATAATTTTCATTTTAGATAATCAATGAATGAGAGAGAGAAAGAGAAAAAAGGAAGGGAGAAAATTGTAAATTTAGATAGTTAATGAGAGAAGGAGGCAGTGATTAAATTTACCTAATTTTTTTAAGAGCGAGAGGAAGGGAGAGAGAGAAAAAGGGGAAGAAAGAAAGAGAGAGAGAAAGAGGAAGAAAGGGAGAGAAAACGAGAGTAAAGGAAAAAATTGTGAATTAAGATAGTTAATGAGAGAGAGAGAGAGAGAGAGAGAGAGAGAGAGAGAGAGAGAGAGACAGACAGAGAGAGAGAAAGAGAAAGGTAGGAATTAAATTTAGCTAATTATTTTAAGAGCGAGAGAGAAAGAAGGCGAGAGAAAGAGAAAGGGAGAGAAAGGGAGAGAAACCGAGAGGAAAGGAAAAATTGTAAATTAAGGTAGTTAACGAGAGAGAAAGGGAAAGAGAGAGAGAGAGAGAGAGAGAGAGAGAGAGAGAGAGAAAGAGAGTGAGAGAGAGAGAGAGAGAGAGAGAGAGAGAGAGAGAGAGATTCATGTTAACACCGAAATCAACCCTTTGTATTATTTGAGATATTATTATTTTTAGCTGTTTTTATTATTTACTTTCTTAAAAAATCTCTACGTATAAATTTTTGTATAGAAATAACTAATTTTCTACTATGTAAACATAATCCAATGTGAATTTTTAGTTTTAAGAGTACAAGTTTAGTTACCTTACTTAATAAATGGGTCCGCATTCTCACGCTCTGTCCTCAACCCTCTCCGGCCTGATTGTCAATATTGTACACTGTAAATTAACAACAAATTGGGTGTAAAAATAAGAAACGACAATTAAAAATAATATATAGTACGATTAGAAGACCACGATGCCCCAATGGTTCAGACGTCCGACTCGTATTTGCCATGATAGGGGTTCTGGGTTCGAATCCCAACACATCCCACGAAATTTTTATTAGTAATAATAAGCCAAAGGTATTTTAAAGAGGTCTAATCTCGCGTTCGCTACCCTTACGTTTACTTGGAATGTGTTACAAAAATTACTTTACTTTTTTTTAAAGCAAAGATCAATTTGTATTTATTATTAACTTGTCATGAAGGACGGCTAATTGAATCGATTTAATTAATCTTCCTATGGAATGTGAGGTAGAATTTGTTGGTCAAACCTGTTGAAATAAGGTGGAACAGTTAGATTAAACGATTGGACAACAAAGTAAATATACGAGGATAATTAAAATACAAGCGTAAGACTATTATGAAATCACAATGTTAATTATTTAAATTGTTAATTAAAATAATTGGATTTAATAAAATGCTTATGTTTATGTAAGGTACTGATGAAATTTTTTCACCGTTCAAATTAATCAAATTAGGCTAATAAACCAGGAAATAATTTGTACCCAATTTATGAAATAATTTCTTAAAAATAATCCTAGTGAAAAATACATATGTCAATTAGTGTTTTACACGATTTAACAGAATCGTAGAAGGGTAGAATTGTGCCAAGGGTTGTGTGACGTGATCGTACGTGGATTCTCTATGACAACCGGAGACGTTTCGACAATAGAAAAAGCGAGAGGGAGCAAAAGAGGTAGAGATAGAGAGTGATTGAACCCTGGGTGGAAAAATCGCGTGAAAATCACGATTATCCGATTCCCCCATGATTTTGCCATTTTCGGCCAAGCACCCCGGTTCAAAACGGCGAACGACAGGATAAAACAATCGGATTATTTTCATGGATTAACACTATTGAAAAAAAAGTTTTATCCGTTTATAATCATTGATTTTACACAAAGTCTGACAACGTTAGATATTTTTTTTTAACTTACGCTGTAAATTAAAAAATAAACTTCTCAATGGAATTTCTGCCATTAATGGGCTGCGTCAGCTGTTAATTTTTCCTTTGTCTCTCCCCGTACTCGTGACCAGGAAGTGCTGATATACTGCCTCCCACCCCGCCGCACAAAGCCCGGAGAGACTTCTTTTTTTTATTAATGTTATTTATTGCTTTTTGATATTTTCCGGCTCATTCATCATTTTACGTTTCATGCATAGAAAGTTTTTTTTAAATTTTAAGATAATGAATCCATGTGTAAACGTTTTTGTGTTTATGTTTTTCATATTCAGTAAATTTGTATATGATTTTCTCCATCGAAATATTTTTCTAATACTCAACTAGTATTTTGATAGTTCTACAATAAATTATTAATGTAAATAGCTAGCAACTCAAAACAAATCCGGAACTATATAAATATCTCATTATTTCTCTCTCTCTCTCTCTCTTTCTCTCTCTCTCTCTCTCTCTCTCTCTCTCTCTC